GAGACAGGTCTAATCAACACACAGCTATTGTGCCCAATCCCTATAAAGATGGCATTGAATTTACTTAAGCAGATATACAATCACAACGGAAATACACACAAACAGCACAGCTGATTAGTCCCTGTTGGAGCCCTTTGTCTTTAGTCACGACATATGCACAGTTCCATCTGAATCTTTATCCTAGGGGCTCCTCTTTTCCCTTATGGGTCCCCACAGCACCCAGGACTGAATAAGATTTTTGATCAACAGAGATGCTGGTAAATTTACACACATAAATAAGCCAGAAGGACGACTGGGCAGCCATCCTGACTGGCTCCTGCTGCATACTCACAGGGGGTCCCAGGGCACCTTGGGGTCCCACGCTTCCTGTGATCCCGGGGACTCCGGGGGCTCCAGGAATGCCCTAATAGAGAGGCAGGAAAAGCAAGCAAAGTGAGGAAGGACTCCCACATTCTCATCACAGACAGCCAGCTCTCAGGGGCAAGGATCACACACAGCGATAGCTCCCCTCCCCCTCGGCACCAAGGCTTCAGGGTCCATTGCTCATTCCTGGTCCCAGCTCCCAAAGGAGTGGGGAAGAGATTTTTTAAGAAGCCTCCAAACCACCAGTCAGGTGTAGTTCTTTCAAATTCAAGCCACATCTGTGTCTAGTAAAAGCTACGTCAATGCAATTGATCTTATGGAGAAGTGGCTCAGAGACAGAATTATCAAGCCGTATAGTTGTATTATTTTTAAAGGATATTTTAAGGAGAGGTCTATAACCAAACGCTAGTTGTTACACTACAGCAAAGATGGCTGCCAAGGTTTAAGGTCTCGCAAAATTAAATCTCTCAAAAGAAGCAAAACGCTTTAAAGCAGAGTACATTCCAGTAGTTTCTGGAAATACTTACAATTGGCCCTGGCGGTCCTGGAGGGCCAGAGGACCCATCCTTTCCAGGAAAGCCCTGGGGGAAAGAAGCACAGCATGTCAACTACACAGTTGCTTTATATGGCTTTCAGAATAGGTGTAGCTAATTCCATTTAATATTCGGGGGCCAAGTCCTGCCGTTTGCTCTGAACTTCCAGGGATTCACTGCTTTTAAACTCTTCGTGGAAATTGTTCTTGGCAAGACTCGTGTGTCTATTGGCCCTATGAAATTGTCCAGTGCAAGAATTTTAGGTGTGAGAAATGCTACCTACAAACTTAAGCAGGAACTTGTTTCCAGAAAGTGTTTTTATTAAATGAAGCGTAACAAAGGAGAAGGGAGGTCAAGTCTCTGTACTTAATGACCAGTTAAAAGGATGAATCAGTGTCTTCTGTGACCTAAGAGAGTTTAGGGGAGGGGATCCCCATCATAGAGATCTAATCAGAAGTACTATAATATCTGAAATTCTGCAGCTCTTCGGGAGCAGTCTAGAGGAGAATTTGGGGGGACTGCTACAATGATAGAGTTTTGACCTCTGGGCAGGTTTGTAGACTGTGTGATCATGGGTTTACAAATGGCACATCTTTGCTTCCCATTACACATTGGAAGAGTTGAAGGCAGAAAACAGATGCTATTCATTATTTTTTTTTAAACTCCCTAAATTTTTGAGCATGTGTATATGTGTGTTATTTTTCTGTGTGTTAAAAAAACTTAACATCTGGAATGACTTACTCTTACGTGGTTATAGTTCTTAGTTGTGGATGCTGGTCCTTCCAATATAGTTAAAAACATGAGAGGGGATCTTCTATCTAATTTTTATAATAGACTCATAAAATTTTGCCTAAAACATCACCTTCTACTAGATAGCAAAATGGACTTTTCATCTTGGGATTTGTGTGCTATTGGAATAATCCATTCCCATTTTGAACCAACCCAAACCAACCTCTCCTAGCTTCCTTGTGGGCCTCTCCCAATTCTCTTTCTAAAATGTGTACCACTTTTCCAGTGAGCTCTTCTTTCTACTGATCTTGCTCATGAAAATCCACCTCCTTAGGGCTCCCCATTCAAGTTCACATTAATCCTACCTACCTCGAGGCATCAACTGAAAGAGAGTAAAGATGACGCTGGAGGAAAGGAAATGGTGTGTGAGTTGGGAGACAGGGTATGAGAGGGTATAAGAAACCCTTAATTAAGCAATAAAGAATGAATATTAGGGAATAGGAGATTAAATGATAAGCATAATGTGGGAATTGACTTGAGTTGACAAATATGTTTTTTAAAGTGCATGAAATGAGCCACCCACAAACAGAGATGTTTTATAATATGAATAGCTCCAAGCATTTTTCTCTTTTGGGATTCCCATCTCAAAATATTAATATGCACCCACAACCCACATTAAAAATAATTTTTGCCATAAAAACTTGAAAGGATTTTTAAATTTGTTTTTGAAAACATTTGGCTATGACCAACTTATTAAGTTATGGTTGGCGATAATTCATCAGTAAAAGGAAATCTAACCTAAAATTTGCTTTCAAAAATCACTAATTACCAAATGAATACTAAATTTAACTATGGCTGAAATTGGAAAACCATATCATTTTATAGACATGTAATTATACATTTATAAATTTCCATTTTTCAGTTTTCTTTTTCATACTTTAGAGCAAATATATATACTTCTCCCAGTCATAAGCATTTTTGTAGGCTCTTAAAATGTTTCTAGTTAGTATGCCTGTGGTATCTAAAGAATGAAACCAATGTGCCCACAAATAGTATTGTAACTGAAATTAAAGTCAGAAGCTAGAATATTTATGTTTATGTAAATACTAGAAAGGGCACTCAGACCCAGTGACTTATTCACCATCTATGCCATCTTTGAAGCCTACCATAGTGGGCCGTGGAAACAAACCTGAAGATTCTGGAACACTGATTGCTAAAGTCCTTCAATTGATGCTACACTCTCAGGTCGAGTGGGGTACATAAGCAGCTGGCATCTGATGAGTTTGTTGAAATAAACCAAACTCAAGCAGTGAGGGCTAGAGAAATACTGGTAGAAAACTCCTGATGCACAATTTCAACCCTGTGGCACGGCTCTGGACTGGCGTGAGCAACAGTAGAGAGACCCGTGTGGCAGTCAGCCATAAGAAATAAGGCTGCTACTTGCAGCAAAGGATTAAGACCAACCACCAGATTAAGAGGCCAAGCAGCAAAAAGCCACAGACTCTGTAAACACCAGTCCAGCTAGGGATCCAAGATCAATCCTTACGTGTGATACCATGCTGAGTCACCCTGGGGAACCTTCAGTGATACACACACCCCCACAAATTTATGTATGTGTGTAAATATGTATATATATTATCTATATAGATTTACATATGTTACCTGTGTTCATATATTTATATATATTATATACACAATACACTATTTTTAATATGTACATATATGTATATATTACATATATAACTTAAATGTATATGTATAAATATAAACATATATTTTTAGTAACCTGCAGTGATTACTTCAGTAAATTACAAGAAACACCAGCAATATTCTACCTAAGAAATAGCTTTAACATATAATAGGCCTAATACAATACACTACCCAGTGATTCCAAAACCTAGCTGATTATCAGGCTCATTAAGCTTTTTAGAACTATACATTTTATGGTCATGCCTAAGGCATTTTGTATCTGAATTTCTGAGGTTGAAGCCCAGGAATCTGCATATTAAAAAACCACACAACACCAACCCACAAAACAACAACCTGATCGCTTAGGTTGTGAAACTGCTGTTTTACATACAAGTGTCTGGCACACCCTGAAGGAAGCATCAGAACCGGAGTGCAGGGCAGATATCATCTGTATTCTGTGCCCCAACAGAAGTACCGTTACAGCCCAGCCCGTAATAACATACAACGAACTTCCTGAGGAATGGTTCTCCCCGCAGATGTGCCCAGGTGCACAGGTGTCCAAGGAAAGCTTTAACATAATCAAAGAAATATATTCTTAGGTGTGAAATATCAACTTCCACTTTACCAAGAAAGTAACCCAAACTGGGTTCCTTCTGCCCAAAAATGCTGGGCGAGATATCTTCAGTGATGGGGTCCTGCTTACTAAACATCTTCCTGGAAGACTTTTCTACATTAACAAAATCCCACAGTGATCTTTGTTAACATAATTCCGTGGAACGGGAGCGCACAGGGCTGGAGCTGAGGAGATGGATTATAATCCTGCCTCTCACACTTCCTGGCTGTGTGGCATTGTTCTAATACTCCCACTTCCTAGGCTCCCAATTCTTTGTCTGTAAAATGGGCTAACAGTGCCTAGCATTTGAGGTTATTCTGAGGAATAGAGAACATACATTTGTAAGGCACTGGGATTTTGTCAGTAATGAATGACAGAGGTTGCTGCTGTTTTCACTCCAATAATCTGCCAAGTCCTGATTGCATTTACTATCATCACTTTGGCTGACTGTGAGGATGTTCTCATGTGGTTTTGTAAAATCCCATCTAGACCCACGGAATAGAAAATCATATCATTTTCTCCACTAGCTTGGTGGCGGTGTCACACTTCCTCTTCTGGAGGAAGACACTCAAGGGGGGGGATTATGAATCCTAGCATTTAACCAAATATTCTTTAGATGGCTCTCTCATCCCTGTTTAACACTTATAATGGGAATTATATCCAGATAGTTGACTCAAGTTCAATTTCGTGAGTCCATTTTAAATCCAGCTGACTTCGATGAAATGAGACATTCATCACAAATATGGCCCTTGTACACATCAAACCCACAGAAAAGGAGTATGTTCCAAGTGTCTTTTCAATATGAAATCCAAGAAAATTAAACACCAACAATAAACGACTTGCTTTTCCTTAAGTCATTTTTTCTTAATAGTTCTTTAAAATCTTTTCAGGCATCCTATATGTGAAGAACGGGCATTAAAAAATATTATCCTGTCCTGACTCATTAGGGCTACATTGAAAAGAGTTAGTACTAATATCAGCGAAAACTGAATTTTTATATAGAAATTCTGTATGTGAATGAATCCCCACAACGACTCTGCGGAGTCAAATATTATTTTTTCCTTTTCACAGATGAGGAAAGTGAGAGTTGGAAATATTAAGTAACTGGCTCCGTGTCCTATGGTTAGGGTTCAAACCCAGGTCTGGCTAACAGTCCAAGTCTAGGATATTCACCACTGGGCCATCCTGCTTCTCATAACCTCACAAATTTTGCAGAATTCATATGTAGAAGGTGGTTTTTTTAAAAAAACACACACAAAAACAGCATTTCATCTTTTATAGATTAGAAAGAAAGACTGGTTATGGCAAGCGCCTGGAGATACAGGGAGCAGTAACCTGTGGGAAAGGAAGCAATTTAAATTAAGTTTGCTTGGAATTTGCAAACAAATACCCTCTGTAGCACAGAGAGATTACCATCTTCCATAAACTATATATCTCCTTCTCATTTTTATTTCTTGTCTTTGGGCTTTTTATATAACCCTGTTAAGAACTGAAAATGAAAATAATTTTTAAAGTTTCTATTGGGGGTGCCTGACAGAGAGCTGGTGGTCTTGGATGTAAGTGAGCCTCAGAACTAGAAAAGAGGCTGCTTTTCTCTTTTCTTTCTCAGCTTTCTCTCGCTTCTTATGCTTAGAATCCATGTCTTGCCTGTTCTTCCCAGTTTCTCTAAGGATCATCAGGATGTCTAGGGTGAAGGCTGAGAAATCCACCCTACAAGAGAGGAGCTAAGGTCACAGGGTGGACCCTGGAATCACAGACACCAAGGAAAGATGAGGCAGGGAAAGAGGGTAGTAGCAAGACTTACAGTGGAAAAGAAATATGAGACGAGAACACTGTGGGTTGGAATGGCCCAGAATGAAAACTGGGTGCCTAACCGTACTCAGCTGTTAACCCTGCATTTGCACTGTTGCTTTATAAAGTGTGGCCCTGCGTTTTGCTCTATTGACTCCACAGCAAGAGGCTGAGACCTGTTCAACGAAGAAGCCCAACTCTGGCTGCACTCGCTCTGTGGCCTCAGGCCCAGGATGGAATATGAGCTGCCTCCTCGAACAAAGATCTCCCTTGGGAAAAGCCAGAATAAGCTAGAAACATTAGAAAACAAGTTCCCTGTTTAAAGGCGAGATGTTTAATCTTCTTTTTATTCTTTGTTAAGCTCTCCCTCCTTCCAGACTAAATTAAGGGGATAACATTGGCACCGGGTCCAGGAAAGAGGTGCTAATCTTTCTCTAAGCTAATGGTAAAAGTGATGGTGCCAGCTTGGGCTGCGGGTTCTTAACAATCAATACGAGAAGGCGAAGATTTAAAGGAAAGAATGTGCAGCAGGGAATCGCCCGCCTCCCCTCCCGCGTGCCTCGCTCACTGACCCCGAGACTCTCTAAGGAGCTAGAAGCACTGACTGGACAGCGTCACACACACTTATTCCAGCCGCCTCCTCCTGTGCCTGCAACAGGCTTTACTCATTCAAGGTCAGAGGAAATGAAGTCACAGTAACTGCAAGTCACCGAAGAACTTAGAGCAATGAAAAAACAAAATATCTCCGCTTCCCGATTTCCTGGACACTCCAGCTGAGCCAGGTAGTTTCCTGGAAGGGGCTTCCCAGACATTTCAGCAGCAAGTCTCGCCGTGCACTGGGTTTGCTGTCTATTCTGTGCTATGGTGGTGGTTACTATTATTATTTTCCAATTGCAGGTCTGCCTTTTAGGATGGCCCAAGAAAGAGCAGGAATAATCCTAAGTGTTTGTCCTCAGTACTCTTTCAACAACCCCCTCTCCTGCCTAACCACAGACACCTGGACACTCCTGCTGCCCCAGAAAGACCCGGCCTTCAATGTCCTGGGTCTGTCCCTACAACCACACAAGCCGGTTCTGGACTTCCTACTTTACAATCCCACTAAATAACTATCTAATTGTTTTAAACCTTTTACTTTTCTTAAGCCCCGAGATATATTTGACTAAACAGATCAGAGCCACCTAAATAACTTTGTTTTCACCTACCTCTCTTCCTTCTCGACTGTCTCTGAGAAAGACCCATTTGGTTTCCTGGCCCAGGGAAAGAGTCATGCCCTTGACACTAGCCCATCCTTCCATCTTCTCCAGGTCTACAAAGTGCCTCCTTTAGATATTTAAAGTCTCTCCTCTTCTGGATCTTTCCCTTCTGGAGGCAGTAATACACAATGTCTCTTGGTTGAGTGTAGTCCCTGGGACATAGTTCGTGCTCAATGAAGATATGTGTTCAATTAATATTTTATTAAATAAGATATTAGATATTGAAAAATATATACATAATCCTTTCCGCAAGCAGGGCAGTCACATCACATTATTCCAGGGGACACCATTATATTTTGTTCTCTATGAATGGCACCCCCTAGAGTTGTACACTGGAATAGCATTGCCCTCAAATATCTTTTCTGAAACAACTATCCCAGTATTCCCATGATCTTTTTTTTTAATACAAAGAATGAATATCCTCTGAAAACCAGTTTTAAAAAGCAAGTTCATTCCCATCTAAGAATTTTTCAAAGTAGGAATTGGACATACCCTGAAAGCTTTCCCTCCAAGTTGAGGGAGAGAGGAAAATAAATCCACATACAGATATCTTATCACTTAATTACAGCTCTAAGACTTTTAATCTTATAAAAGAAAACAGGTTTGGAGGAATAGCAAAATATTTACAAGAAGTCTATGTTGGTATATTGGTTTTTTAAAAAAAGAATTCCAAAACCAAGTGATCCCAACACTAATCCAATATGTTTGAATTGGGAGTTCTTTGCCAACACTGAACTCCAGGCATGGATAAATCAAGTCAATTCACTGAACCAAATCAGTAAAATTGCCATTTTCAGAGCTTCAGGAATCATGAAAGAATCTAGGTGGGTAACCACACAGGATCTTAGCCTAAGCCCATTGCCAAAACATATAAATACTTTTAGACACTCCTTCCACATGTACAAGAAACCTACATAAATCTAACTTTCAGAAAATGTCTCCTTTAGATACATTCACCTGGCCATGCTTTGCAGACTGAGTAATTCCATTTGATGGACAGAGACTAAACTGAGTTTTTAAGCAAATGAAAGTTTGGTGGAAAAAGAAAAAAAGAAAAAAACCATGGAAAGAATTTAAGGTCCCACACCTGGCTTCCTATAGAAAAGGCAACCTCCTTATTCTTGAGCGGTATAGGTGCCCTGAGCTAAAGGCAGGCCTTGTTTCAATAGAGGAGTCTTTTCACCAACTGCTTTTTAACCTAATGCTAAGTTATACCAAAGACGCCACTGAATGCCCATATGTTGTCCTTCACTGGACTGGATCTAAGTGGCTGCCACTCCATATAATTCAGTCTTGAGAGAAACTGTGGAGCTGCCTACATGTCTAAATCAGTGACAGTTTAGGGAAGACTGGTCTCTCTCTCCCATGATCAATACTCAGACTTCCTATTGCCTTCCCATCAAGCTCAAAATCCCTGGTGTGAAAGAAAATAGATGATTTAAGTAAATAGCTATTTACCTCTCCAGTTTCATTTCTTGAGAATCTCCCCACTCCTAAGTGTATGTGCACATGTGCATGTACACACACACACACACACACACACACACACACACACACCCTGCACTCTAATCTGCAGCCATACTGAACTATCTGCAATATTGGAAATGCCCACCGTCTGTTCACCCTCACTCCTGTGTATATGCCATGTCTCTGCTTTCTATAGCTTTCCTTCCTCATACACCTCACCAGTTTCTCTCTCTTAGTTGATAATCAGCTTCCTCTGGGAAGCTTTTCCCACCCTCCAAGTCTGGATTAGTTATTTATTCTTTGTGTTCCCATGGGGCTCTATAAATACCCCATCATAGCATTATTATAGCTCCTCCCACTAAGCTACAAAATCTTTGAGGATAAGAACCTCAAACCTGGCTCAGTGAAGGGGTTGACAAAGAAACACTAAATGTCACCCCCTTCCCTCTTCTCGCCACCCTTCTAATTTCTTTGACTGCTGTTGGCTTCAACAAGTTGAAAAATAATCGACATACATTAAATAAATGGAGAATACTGCAGATCATCGTATTTAAATTTTGATTCATAGTTCTTGATTTCCTTCAGGTTTGTGCCTTGAGAATTTAAAAAAATTGGAAAATCTACTCAACTAATACACACGATTCAGTGCAAAGTTTATTCAGGTTATGGGAACCTTCAGAAAGAGGTGTTGCTAATTTGGGAAGGTTTGATGGAAGTTCCCAGGTTTTGATGAAAGTCACAGACATAGAAGATGTAAGTGAAGGGAAATAGGTGCAGGATAGATAGACTGTAAATAGACAGGAGGGAAAAGAAAAGAAAACCATCTGGTTTGATTGGCTTCTTTGCATAGAAACCTGCTGGAAGCAAAAGGTGACTTGGTGAGGAACCTACTGTGCTGCCAACCAACCTTGGTCCAGTCCTTACCCTCTGGCCTGGGGAGCCATCGCGTCCTGGTGAACCAACGCCTCCTGGGACGCCCTGTGTAGAGCAAGGACAAGATAAGAGTCCGAGCCACGGAAATGAGTTACCCTCTCCCAGCCTCGCTGAAGTAGATCAAGGCCTCCCACCAAACCTAAGCATAAAGGCGAGGCGACTGACAATTCAGAACCCACAATTTATTCACGAGAAAGGAATGTCCCCCACCAGGGCTCACCTGAGACCGTCAGTACGACCCTTAGGGGGGCATAAGGTAAATGAATGCAGACCAGTCATCTTTAAAATAGGAGCCACTTATCGCCAAGATTCCAGTTGACTTCAGAACTACTGTCTTTCTTTGTCCCCCTTAGTGTAGCTCTAGTCTAGAACTGGGAGCAATAGGCTAAAAAACAGAAATAATACCTGTGGGCCAGGCAGGCCAGTCTCCCCTTTCTCTCCTTTTTCGCCTGGCATTCCCTGGATGTTCAAAAGCACACGGGGTTAGGTTCACATAGTCTGATCCTTAGGCTTTCCTTCTTCTCCACGGACTGTTCCAGTATTTTCAACATGAAATTGCTTTCACGCTAACGTCCAAATACAGCATGTTTCACTTCTCACATACGCTATACTACTTATGTAAGCATTCCTATTAAGCTGAGCGTTTATATAGCAGAGCAGTTTAAACACAGAGCATACAGTCTGATATGGCTAAGCCCATACAGTAAATATGTGGAGGGGAGTCTTGAACATTTCCATATTGTTTCTAGTTTAGATTTTAAAACCAGTATCCATATAGATTTTTGTTTTGCTTTGGCTAGAAATTTATAAGAATGGAAAGGCAAACACAGAAACTGGCAGGTAGCAAGACCGCAACAAATGCTTATCATTAGCAGCAGTAATTCCACTCGTTGGCATGTCAGTGCTTTCTAAAATGTGAAAATAACTCTGGAAAAGAAAACTTAGCCAGGCAGGCATATCATATGCACAGAAAGACTGCTAAAAATGGCTTCAAAGGATTTGTTTGCTTCAAATATTAATTACAGAGATTGGTTTTTATTTTATAAATCTAGATCTCTATGGTAAGTTTAATGAAAATCAATGAGTGGAATTAAATTTGTTTTCGGTAGTCCAAAGAGCTTTTAAAAAAAAATGAGGCTGTAAAAAGTTCACTGTTTATCACCTAAAACTCATACTTAGTGTACTGCACTTTGATGCTTACTGAGATAAAGATGGTAAGGAAAAGACTTTCATAAATCTTTATCCATAATCACTACAAATACATAATGAATAACTTAAATTTGCATAACATTTGTTAACGGTAAGGATTTAGTCAAACGAGAAAATGGGCAATACCTGTCAGGCCCTGTTTTTATTCTATAGACCAACTGCTCGTGAATATTCTTACTCCCTAGCTGTGTATGTGTTTGTAAAAGACCCCACCATTGAACAAAATTGGCTAGTGAATGTCATTACTTTTATTTCTCAGTTCTCACTTGTAGGAGTCGATAGGGGCTGAGGCTCATTATTAAGGCACAGAAGATAAAAGTTCATTCCTTATAACTCATGGAGAAATGATAATAATAAAAACCTATTCAAATGTTTACACACAACTCACAGGTATTCCTTGAATGGACAGACCGCTTGGTCCTTGGGGTCCAGGGGGACCCTGAGGTCCTGGAGGGCCTGTTTCACCCCGAGGGCCATCTGGTCCCTGTAAGGCAAGAGAGGAAAGTCATCCCAGAGGTAAGTTAGATCCTCTGGTACCCAGAAGATATTTCTGCCTAGGGCACTTATAATGTATTTCCTTAAATAATTTTTCTTTAGACATAAAATATTCATGGGATAACAAGACACTAAGCCTCAGATGATCCACCTCCCAGGCAAAATGTCATCAGTAAACCAAAAGAGTAAACACACAGGGGCTGCTGCAACTTAATGGGTTTTTTTGCTTCCATAAATAAGAACGCTATGCCAATTAGGTGAGGTACTAGACCTCCCACACTCCATAACAAATCCAAAAGATAGAAATGCTTCAAGACCACCCTCCTGGCCTGTAAAGACTGATACCATCCAGCTGAACTGCATTCCCCCCACCTTCACTGCTGTCAGGTCCCCACCGCATGGCCCTTCCCGGGCACTCATCGAAGGCTTTGCGCCCGCCCTCTGCTCCTTCATCGTCATAGTCCAGCCACCACCCTTGCCTCTTCCGTGGTCACTGAATGACCTTCCCTAGCCTCAACATTATTCGATTTCCTTTCTTCCCAGACATTCCTCTCATTTTAGCAACTCTTAATTCTACAGTTTGGAACTTATTATGGTTTGGCTAAAACTACATACCTCTGTATTCGCAGACCCAGAAAACCTACTTATCCTCAACCTCGTTTCCTTCCCCTTCTCTCATTCTGTGGCTCCAACAAAAGCCAATCTTCCATAAATTAAGACTTCTAGCACCTGGGTATCATCTTAAACATGAGATTGATGAATCCATTACTCAGGACAAACAAAACAGAAGAAAAAGCAAAATGGTGTAAAGTGGGAATAAATAATGAGTGCTGCCTGGAAATTGGTAAGTTTTAGGTGTATGAGGATAACCATGTGGACACGCCTAGTTATTTGGGGGTCAACAGAACTCTGAGCTGAGGTAGATTTTGGATTAGTTGAAGATGTGTTTATGAAGGAGGTTATTAAGGAGACTGGTGATAGAGTGAAAGAGGAAACTGATGGAGTTAGATGACTATCAGGCAGAGGGAGGGGAAGAGAAGCCTCGGAAAGAAATCGGAAATGTAAAACCCTACGTGTTAGGAAGAAAATGAAAACAGAGAGGTGGAATGGTATGGAAAGGCCAAAAGAAGAGAAAATTTCCAATAGAGAGGTGACAGTCATGTCAAATGCTGTGGAGATCTCAAATAAGGTAAGACTTAAACCACAGTCCATGGATTCGGTACAAGGAGATAACTGGTGACTAACAAGCAATTTTACAGGACTCCTAGAGGAACAGAAATCATCTATAGGTTAAAAATGATTTGGGTTGTATGTAAGTGGAATTGTACACTGTGTGCTCCTGTGATTTTGCTTTTTTCATGTGGCAGAGTATTTGGAGGTTCACCCACAGCCCGGCATGTTTCAGTAGTATGTTCCTTTTAATTGCTGAGTATATTCCATTGCATAAATAGACAGAAAATTGTTCCTTTACTTGTTGAGAGACATTTGGATTGTTTCCAGTTTTTTTTTAGTTGTGGATAAAGATGCTATGAATATTTATATATCCCCCAAAAGAATTGTTTTTGAGGTGAGGATGTAGAAGCACTGAATGAAAACTATTCTTATCAGAAACATAGTATAAGAGAAGGCGAGAGAGGTAGCTAGATTTTTGAAAATATGATAGAGAAGACGTGGAGGAGGTTTAAAAATATTACTTAATATTTATAATAGTTTAATAATATATTGTTTGCATATTATTGAGGAATTGGGAATGGAGTAGAAGGGCAGGAAGCAGGTGGTCCCATTTTATTCTATAAAGTATATAATAAAAATGATGAGGAGAGACCAGAGACAGAGCTGTTTTGAGTTTCTAAATTATTATTAACTATTTACTACAACTGAAATTCAAAGCCACAAAAATAAAAAAAAATACAAATTGGGGCTTTTCATTTGGAAAGTAAAGTTTATCTGCTCCCACACTGTCCACCTTGATGAACATGTGGGCATCCTTTCTCCAGTAAGACTTTTTCCTAAAACCACTACATACCTGCATCTGTGATTCATCAAAATCATCACACAGAAATAACCACATCAGTAGTGGTCCTAGGGGAACAGATTATTAAAAGAAAGAGGTAAATCTTGAGATCATCAAATACCGATGAATTCCTACCATGTCTTCAGTGAGAATGTTAAACAACAGGGTCATGGTGTTAGAGGTGATGGGAGGAGGGAGCCAGCATCTACAGGAGCACGTGGGCACTGCCCTTGGGTGAAACCAAGCAAGACCCAGTGTATCATTTTCTGAGAAGGAGCTTTCAAACCACTGGCCTTCTTGTAGCAAATAAGAGGTGAAGCCAAGTAAGATATATCATGTCTGTGCCTGAGAAAGTGTGTCACAATCTCAGAAAACAAAACAAAAAAGGAGATATCTTCTGGTCTGTTTTGAGTTGGCTAGTACCTGATAATTATCTTCAGCCTCCTTTCATTTATTACTCCCCCTCACACATTCTGTCCTGCCTTGCTTCACTTGTTTCCAATTTTATAGTAAGAAGCCTTGCAACGTTCTCTTCTCCAAGAATAAACACGATGCAAGTTCAATAAGGAACCACATTGAGGCAGTAAGTCAAGCAAGATGGATGGAGGGCAGATCATGTGAAATAACACGGTGAAAAGGAGACAGGGAGTCAAATTATAAAGGGCCTTGAATCCCGTGCCAAGGAGGCTGAATTGCATTTTCAAGGCAAATAGCCTATGACTGCAGGTTTTAAGAGTGTGATATGACCCAGTATAACTTTAAAGGAACGAATCTGGGGGAAGATGTGAAAAATCAATCAGAAAATCATGCCCCTGGAGCCAGGAGACTAGTTAGAAGTTTTGCCAAAAGCCAGAGAGAAAATGGTGAAGCCTGAACTCAGTTAGTGGCTGGGCTTCTGCCATCCCTCGCGGTGCTTTCGTGCAAAGTAGGAAAACATGTGCCTTGACATAGCTTTGCATGGCTGGGTCCTCTTGGTTGCCTTTGTACAGTGTACAACCTGAGCAGTGAGAATGGAAAACAGAGTCGTGTCTGATTATGCACAGTGGAGGGATTATGCATCGTGGAAAGAAAGGAGGAGACATTTACAACCTGAGTAATTACCTGGGAGGGACTGCTGCCTGGTTGTGATTCAGTGTTCCCCCAAACAACTTTGTGGTAGATAAAAGAAAGAAAGAATGGATGAGAGAGAGGACTAATATTTATAAGAGTTTAATAATATATTGTTTGTATATTATTGAGGAATTAGGAACAGAGTAGAAGGGCAGAAAGTAGGTGGTTCCATTTCTGACCCAGAAACCCTTCCTTTCACTAAGTTATTAAATGTTCTTATTGATAAAAGAAAACAAAAAAACCCCACAAGTCCAAGAATAAGGGGAAAGACTTAGGCGCAACTTTGAAAAAAATGTAAGGACCTTTAGATTGCAAAGGGTAGACAGTACTGAACACCAAAATTATTATGGCTTGTTAGGAGAGAGGAAGGAGAGAGAGGTATTGAGATACTGAGATTGACAACGTTACCTTTGGACCCTGCTCTCCTCGTTGGCCTTTCGGTCCTCTGAGTCCTGGACCACCCTGGCAAACAGAAGTTAAGTATTAGCAAAAAGACACATCTTAAAGCTGTCTGTTTCATCCATTTTCCTTAATAATATGGATTATGTAATTTTTATTTTGTATCAAGGCCAACACAATGTGTAATGATATATGTTCAACAGGATCCTTAACTAGAAATTTGTCATGCAGATCCAACTTCCCTGCTAATCATTTCATAGTTTGAGCCAACTTTCTATGCCAAATCTTTTAATTTTTTAAAATTTATCTTTATTGTCAAAAGTATTACAGATGTCCCTTTTTTAAACTATAGGATTTTTTAAAATTTAGTGATATAAAACTACTACTATTAATGGATGCAAATAATAAAATATACCACTAACCTAAAATTGTATGTCTTATACCACAACTTTGAGATTACCTTATTTAGTAGCATTTTTCTTTATATGGTACATGTCAACACATAATATATATGTATTCTTTGCAAACATATATTCCTTGTATATATGTATGAAAATATATGTGTGCATAATAACCTTTGAATATTTTTAATTGACTATTTCACTTAAATCAATTTTAAAATCAAATATTGTAGCACTACAGTGAATGGAAAAAAGTATTACTTGCCCGGCCGGGTGTGGCTCAGCGGTTGAGCGTCAACCTAGGGTCCAGGCGATTGGGGTTTGATTCCCGGTCAGGGCACATGCCCGGGTTGCCGGCTCGAACAATGACTCTCTCATCATTGATGTTTCTCTCTCTCTCCCTCTCCCTTCCTCTCTCTGAAATCAATAAAAATATATTTTAAAAAAAAAAAAAGTATTACTTGCTAAGAATAGAAGGTGACCTTAAAGATAAACTGTAAGTAATGTTATTTGGTTAAGCTAGATTTTGTTTCTATTGAAATTTCTGAGTTGAAAGTTTGCTCTTGATAAAAAGGAATAGGCCTGGGGAGGGAGCAGCAGCAGGGTGGAAGGGGTCGGGGGGGGGAGGAAGGGACATCTGTAATACTTTCAACAATAAAGATAAGTTTTGAAAGAAGGAATAATAAGTACTAGAATGGTCATATTGGCACCAAACTGAGAATATCACTTTTACCTGAACAGAAGGATTAAAAGACCATTGAAAATGCAGTATCTTTCTCACTATGTGATTCCAATTTATTTTCTGATATGTCCATGACTACTGAAAATCAGGCGGGTACCATCGTCTTACATCACTTGGAAAAGACTAGATCAGATGATCTTTAAGGTTTCTTCCAGCTTCCTTTTTAAGCACTTTAGTTCGCTCCCCTTCCCAATATCAGTCGATTGCTTACCTTCCAGACTTTTAAATATAATTATATAATTCATTTTATGCACATGTATATATATCTATCTTTATAGATTATTACCTATAGTATTTTTGTGGTATTATTTGATGTATATAGATTGCATATGTGACCTCAAACTTTTTGAGTTTTTTAACTTAATGTTTTAGAGATTTTTCCATAATATAACAGTTGGATCTAACTTATTCTTGGTGAGTTGCATAGTTGTCCAAAACCATGGATGGATACATAATAGTTTAACCATTCTTCCACTATTGGAAATATAGGAGGTTCCCCCACAATTTTTTGCTGTTTAAACATAATGCAATTAATAACCTTAAAATCCTTTAAATATACACATTAATATTTAAGTTAAAAGGTTAACATTTAAGGTAGCAACAATTAGAACTATAAATGAAAGTTAACAAATCTGCAAATACATTCTCAAATTGTGCTCCTAAAAAGCTATGCCATCTAATAAGAGTTTAAGAGGACCCTTATTTCACTAACCCTTCGTATTTGATGTCAAACTACAATTTACCAACCTGATTGGTAAAAGTAATACCTTATTCTTATTTTAATTTTATTTCTCTTAAAGCTACTGTGATTGAGCATCTTTTCATGTTTGTCCATTTTATCTCAATGCATATATATACAGACAGAGAGAGAGAGAGAGTTTTCTATTGGGTTGCATGCCTTTTTCTCTTTAATGTGCAGATATTCTTTATAATTTGGACATCTTTAACTGTTCTAGATGATGCAAATATTTTCCTGCAGTGTGGATGACATTGTTGGTTGGCTACCAAAGAGTCTTTCCCCGACTTCTTTCCATTTTATTTCTTCTACTATAAAAGGCTAAAAAAGACAGAGATTTACTTTCCCAGCTTCCTCTGCAACTAGAAATGGGCATGTTATTCAGTTTCAGCCCATTTGATCAAAAAGCAACAAGCCAAAGAAAAGCAAACTGGAAAACTGGAACAATCTGGGTCCTTAATGCAGTTGGTGAGCAGCCTCTAAATCTTTTGAGGAGCAAACAACAAATGTCCTAATGGGTTTCACCACTGTGTTAGTCAAATTTTCTGTTTCTTGCAGCAAGTCCAATGCATCCCAAGTAATATACCTTGTCTGGCCAACTCTTTAATTTTGTTTACACACCTTAAAGGATTGTGACTAGTTGCCTCACAGGCATTCATGCCAGAGGCACCATGTCTAAAAGCCAGGGATCATTTTACATTTCTAAACTTATTTTCCATCTTAACCCTGACCCTCATCACTAAGCACATGACAAGAATTCAACAAATATTTGCGGATATAAAATTCCATCTTTTAATAAAGGATTAGTCCAGGCAAAGAGAATATGGTGCTTTTGCCCATGTCTCCCTACAGCTCTTTATAGTTTTACTGGCACATAATACTACTGTATAAATTCTTGAGAAGATAATCACAACTATGTTAACCATTGGACAGGGTTTATTACATACTGTTTGGGATACTATTTCTTAAATAGTTTATGATGCTTTAAATATTTAAAAATTTCAATAGCCTTTCTCCATTTTACATGTTTTGGTGTGTTTTTTCTCAACAAGTCAGAGCTCAACCCTTTTGTTTTACTTCTCTGCTGCTTCCCTCTCATTACAAAGTTGGACTCTTAGGTCATATGTAAATATTTTATAACTTGTTCCAGCAGTATTGCAAATGAAAAACTTGAAAAGCCTCCAGCTAAAAAAAGCTTATTGATGCCGTTTAAAATAAAATAAACATTATTGTAATTAAGATCTGAGTCTTTAAGTACCGAGAGTGGAGAAGAAACCAAAAAAACCAGAGCAGCAGGCATGTGGGCTGAAACTGCCCTGGAGAGAGATTGGGAAGATGGTTGAGGTTGACTGCAAAGCTTGGATTTAATAGCCCCCGCAAGGCAATTAAATATGAACTTGGGTCTATGCTAGGTGGGGGGAGGTAGGATATGAAACGTTCATTAAAGTTGAAGAGCTTGAAAGGCTGCGCTCCAAATGAGCTAGGAGAGAAAATAGCCCCCTAGCAGGTGGGTGACCACAACGCTGCTTTCCCTCTAGCTGTGCGAGGGGCAGGCACTATCTCCCTTTCGAGCTGTGTTACCCAGGAGCTGATTCTTCGACAATCTAGGGACTAGAATCCACACTGCTTGTGAGGATCAAACGAAACTCCAAGGTTAAACCTGAGGCGGTCTTCAGTTGGTTGTGTACTCAGGAGCTGGGCAGAAGCAGGCACAGGTGATCTCTCGAGGAACACGTGTGAAACATAGGCTCAAAGTAGGGTAGAAATCTTGGTTCTTTTTACTTTGTCAAGTTAAATATGCCTATTAAAGGTTCTAGGTAAGCTATTAAAAGAACAGGTAGAGAGAGTATAATCTCTAAATTAGTGAAGGGGGAAGGAAAGAATGGGAATAAAAGCAAAAAGCGAAAAATTGCAAATAAATAAATAAAACCTCAATCAACCAAGAAAGCCACACACACACACACACTAAAGGACAACTAGAAGACAAAAATTACGGTGATGGATACAGGAATATAAACCCAAACAGGTCAGCACAAACAATACATTGGACTAAACTCTAAAAAGAAAGATTGTAAAACCAGATTAAAAACAAAATCCAGGCATATGCTATTTAAGGAGATACGTGTAAAATATAAAGACACAAAAAGGTTAAAACAAAAAGAATGAAGAAAATATATATCAGAAAAATAATACAAAAGAGAAATGCTGACATAGCAAGTCACTGGGAAGACAGTTATTCTAATTTTTTTGCATATTACTACACAATATCAGGATATATAATGGAGAATTACAAACAGATTTTGACAATTTGACAATTAGAATGGAAGATTTTAAATATCCATCTCATAATTGAAAGATTAAAAAAATGCAGATAAAGAAGATTCTAACAACGCAATTTACAATTTCACTTACTGGACTTCATATCTAAAATTCCGAACTTCACAATTAGGGAACACATTCTTCTAAAACCTACATGGAAATCTATAAAAGCTGACAGAAGGCCCCAAAGCGTATATCAAACAATCAACAAATATCAAAGAATTGGTACTCTACAGACTATCTTCCATGATAAAGTATAATAAAATTAATAATGTCAAGAAGAAAAAGATAAAAACTGCACACATAATTGAAAATTTAAAAAGGCTCTTCTATGTAAATCAAGGCTAAAAGAAGTGATAAATAAAAATATGAAAGATGATCGCTCAAAGAAATATTAAATTTCACTACTTTAAAATTCAAATTTCTAGGCAATATAAATTCCTGTAAACAACAACAAACAATCCAGGGACCAGGAAAAGATATTTGCAAACCATATTGTTAATAAAGGGTTAGTGTTCAGAATACATAACACCACTTACAAATCAATGAGGAAAAAAGTCTGTATAACAAAGACACAGCAAAGTTTATAAGCAGGAATTTACAAAGAAAAAAATCTAAATGGCTAAGAGACAAAGGAAAAACTGCTCCATCTCACTAGCAGGGAGGGATAGTCCTCTTTAAAATAACAATGACACAGCGTTTTGCAGTCATCAAATAAAGGAGGGAGCTCACATTTGGCAACATCAGAGGGTCTTGGTGAAATGGGAACTGACTCTCATACAGATTTTGAGGAAGAAGATATCGGGACAGTCACCTAGAGGAGCAACTTGGGGTTTCTTCATGAAGTTGAGGATGCACCTTCCTTAATCTCCAACAAATCTAAGTGCTATTACAAGAGCGCTCATTCATGTTTGCAAAGAGACATACAAAGAATGTTCACTGTAATAATATTGTCATAGGGAAACAGTCCACAGTAATGGGTCAATAAACTGTAGTTTATATAACGGAATTCCTTGCAGCTGATACAACAAATAAACCAAACAATGTGTGTTAGCCTTGATCAAGTTCAAAGACATACTTTTGGGGTAAAAAAAAAAAAGCAATCTGCACACAGTTGAAAACAAATCTTTTTTTTCAATTCCCAGATTAAACTAAAGACAACTCTGTACATTTGATTAAAGTTTTATAATGCACAGAATCCTTACATACATATTATCTTGGATATTCCTCCCAGAACCAGTTAAAGAAGTGGGTGCTATTTTCTATATAAGAAAATGGAGGTTCACACTAGAGTTCAATGACTGGCCTAATCTTATGATTTAAACGTAATGCTTTTACCATTACTCCACATTTGCTTCTTGGGGGTAAAGGAACTTTTTTTATGGATTCCGCATCCATAGCTTGAAGGAATGGTCTATGTGCCAAAGATAAAGGAGAAATTGCTGGGATATATTTCAGATGCATTCAGCAGGTTCTCTTCCTTTTTGCCCAGTTCAGGAAACACGGTCCACAAATAAAGGAAAATTAGGTTGGTGGCGGTGCCAACCTGGGGTGAAATTTCCCGCTGCCAGGCAGCTGTAGGTGTGGGTTACCTACTGCGGACATGTCACCTGGGCCAGGCTGCCTCTGGGAAGCCGACGTACAGAGACTGATGGGTATCAGAATATTCCTCCTGCAAGGTCTGGGTTTCCGTACCTGCTAATGCACCTTCTCTTTGTTTTCTTTGCCTTCTGCCCTGATATAATTGCCATTTCCTAACCAAACACCAACTATAGCATACTTATCTCAAAGAAATATGGATAACCCAGTTTAGCATGTTAGACATAGAATGAACACTTAAACATACCACAAAAGATCTATCATGGCAAATGCGAAGACCCAAATAGTGAAATTTTATACACTATATATTTTACAAAAATATGTTTTCTTTTTCTTTCCTCCCGCCTCCCCCTCCTTCTCCCTCTCCTCTCTCTCTTTTTCTATCTCTCCCCTTCTCTGTAGAAAGTTCAAGTCATGCTCAGATGAGCTTCTTTTCCTGATAAATTCAGAACCTTCCTTCACATATAAATTTTGATAACAGAATGGGCAAGAAGAGGGCATGCAAATAGTACAAGTAGAGGGCCGATACTTGAAACATTCACACTGAGAATAAACCACAGGAGTTTCAAGGGCAGATTTTGAATGTACAGCATTATGAGAGGTTGTCTTGCACAGTGATCAAGAGCATTATCTCTAGGAGTCAAGGAGACCTGGATTTGAAGAGCAGCTCCTCCAAGCTGCGTTCTTTAGGCAAGTTATTTAACATCTCTGTGTTTCTGTTTGCTCATGGGATTAACTGTTTAGCTCAATGGACAGCACATATTAGACACACAACAAGTGATAGCTATAAATATTATTAAAGAACATTTAAGCCCAACTAGGTGAGACTTACCGGTGGGCCTGCTGGTCCCAGAGTCCCTTTACTGGTTTCAGAACAGGAGCAAGAATGTGGAAGGTCTGGGCAAGTCTCCTCATCCCTCTGAGAAGAAAAAAAACCAGCATAGCTGTTAGCAAGATATTCTATACAAATCATTTTGTGAACTCTAAGAAAAAACTTTGACTTAAGATACTTTAAAGTGAGCATTAGTCTAGGAAGACAGAAATATTTTCTCCTGACCACAAAAATATTTTCTTCAAAGAAAAATGAATGGGTGTCTAGTGAGTCATTGACAATCATCATTATTAAAAGACACTGTTAAAAACCAGTTTGGGAATCCAGGGGAAGAAGGAAAGGCAGAAGTGGGTGTGAGAAAATAGCCCCCAAAGCAGCTTCCTACTTAATTCAGCTGGAGTAGTAGTACTCTAAGAACTAAAGGTCTTGCAAACTTTCTTTTTGTTACAACATATTTTTCATTTGAAAGAATAAAAGAAAACTTGTTGGAATAGTTAACCAAAACAACCGCATCTGTACTAACAAACAAAACAAAATAAAAACAGTACTTAAACACATCATCAATTCCCTGTAACAATTTTAACTACTGCTTGCATTCTGCGGCTGAAAATTTTTTAAAAAATCAAGGCATCAACCTAAAGCTTTGAGATAGGAGGTCATATTTCTTCTCTTGGAAAACTTTGTTGCCATGTCACATTGCAAGGGACATTATGAATGTCAGGCTAAATATATCTGAATGAGTTCCTGGAGTGTAGAAAAGATGGAGCAACCTGCAAATAGTGACTGAATAATTTGTGAGTATCCATTTGGAAAGGCAGCCAAAAAGAAGCCTACACCGGGATAAGCAGCTGTACAGCTTCATGGGGTTCATCAGTCCCTTCGGAGAGAGAGAAAACTTCATTATTTAGGACTCTGGGGAAAAGCAAAGTTAGAGCTGAAGAGAGCGCAGATGATAATTAAATAAATGATCAAGTTGAAAGTAATCTCAGGCGCTGAAATACAACAAAATCCCCAAAATATTGAGCAAAGGACTGGTGTGTGCTGTATATACGTTTCCCTAATGTTGGTCAATAGTCAAAGCTTTCAGCTCATTACAGGAAAGCCCCCTGCTAACACATCTGGCCAGCTTGAGTATCCTGAAAGATTCCCAAAATAAGGCTAACAGCAGGTCCCCTGTGACCAGAGACTCAGTAATGGTTTTGTCATTGCTGTTGACTGCCTCCATCAGTGTCTTCCTACCATGGAATGAAAGGAAAAGTTCTGAGAAGGCCTGGGTCCTTCCTAGGAGAAGTGGTGATCACATTTTGCTTGACACCATAGGATTCAGAGCATTTGCTCTTCCAATTTCCAATCTACCTGCGCTTATGTAAGACATCACAGTGTCTCCGGTTTAAGTCCACCCCAGAATCTACTTAGAAACTTAAAATTCTGATAAAGGAAGCGTAAGTTATTTCCTTCTCAAACAGAGTTGGCATGAATGTACTGCCTGTAAGAGATAATGTTATAAGTTGTAAGATCTTAAGAAGGCAAATCGCTCAGACTTCATGATGGCTTCTCCACGCCCATTTCTCCACATTCAAATATATGAAGACATGACTACTGTCCAACCACGACAGTGTCATCCATTTCAGCTCAGGATCTAAGGACCTTAAGATATGAGTCTACTTTTACACATACAGGTATACCCTTGTGAATTATACACGGCATTAATAATGAGAAAAAGTTTGTTTTTTCTAGTACCATCACATAAGTTATATAGTTTACGGCTAAAATTCCAAAACTGTGTACCAAGGAGGCCCGGGGTACCGTAATAAGCTCACGGGGGCACTGTGAACATTTTACAAACTCAAGAGAAACAGCAATATCAGGCACCCATTGGACTCTGTGTGAACAACTATCTCAAAGTATTTCACAGTTTCAACAATAGATTTTGAACTACTTTTGTTTTACATAATTGTAAATCTGGTTTTTCAGCAATTGCTCTGATGAAAAGCAAGTATACCATGAGAAAAGTCAGTATGGAAAAACAAAGTGAGGGTGGAGATGTCCAATCAGATTCCAAGATACCAGAAACTGTACACTCCCAATAGGTACACCCATCCCAGTGAGTAATTGTGGCTACTTATGAATAACATAAGTCTATCACTTTTTTCTTTCAATTTTTTCATATGGCTACTGAGTTATTAGGACATACACACTTAGTAAGATGTTTGGACCTAATTATTTCAGAAATGGAACTGTTAGGTATTTCTCTTGGCTTAGGGATGCCATAAAGTATTCCAACTCTAAAGATTTCATGAACCAGGAAATCTGAGACTATCTGGGCTGTGTAAATGGCAACCCCGAAGCTGTGAAGACCCACCATGTATGGCAATATGTCCTGCTAATTTCAGACACACCTCCTTCTAATATCTTTTTCATTTCCTTTGCCATCACGGTGAATGACCTCTGATATGAGTTTTGCAAAACAGTGTTTCATTTTCAGAGAAAATCTGACATAACTTTGGGAAAGTTTAATGAAGAGCGAACCAAATAATGAAGGAAGGTTTCTTACCAGGCCTGGTAGTTCACAGCATTTGTCTCTATTGGCCCAGGATGTGGAACAAACAATATCAAACATCTGTAACTGGAACTGCAATTTAAAGTGAGATTGTCATTCGATGAAAGATAGATACTTTGTTTATAGCTATGATGACTCCATACTACATATCAATGATAGAACACCAAGCCATTGATAACACAACATTACTGAAAATAAGTTAAAAAGTCATTCCAACAATATCAAATAATTAGCTGCTCAAAGACATAATGGCCTAAGATTTTGTCTGTAGTTACTCCATCTACCATCCAAACTCCCTTATTTATCACAACTTCCCGTCCCATCTCCACCTGAAGAATCTTAGTGTCTCTGCTGAAGCCTTCCCAGTACTGCCCATCACAGTGACTCCAAGTGCGTCTGTAATCCCACAGCACTGCACAGGTCTCTTTCATAGCATATCTGCCACCACAAATACAATTATTTATATTATCTCCTCCTTAGACTGGGAGCTCTTCAAAGGACAGAGGACCAGTTATTCGTCTTTATGTCCTCTATCACAATATATAGCACGTAGTAGGTATTCAGTGAAGGCTTGTTGAATTAATTCCGACTTTCATCATTCAGGCATACACTCAGAAAATTTCTCTTAGTAGTACATAAGCTAGATACTGTGTAGACCTTTAGGATGCAAAAATGAACAAAACCACGGTATAAAGTATTCTGCCCTCAATGAATTTCCAGGGAGTGAGAAGCAGGCACATAAACACTGTTTTCAACATGGTAAGTGTCATGACAGTCACATATGGTATTATGAGAACATGGGCTAAGTGTCTTTTTATTTAAGCCATGGATCATGCCATAAATATTTAGACAGTCTTGTTCTATTCGTGTATGTTGGCAACAGCACAAATGTGTGTTGAAATATACAGAAACAAAGTTAGAATATCATTAGGGGCTAACACTAATGTAATGACCCAACCACTTCGAATATTATATTTCTCCCTACATTATTTTCACATATTAAAAGTGTCATCAGTTACAGAGCTGGGAGAAGGTAAAGTTCTTTTTATTATAAATCTTCAACCTTCTTTCAGCAAATGGTGTTTTTAGCAAGAGTTGGAAACTCCTGGTCCCTCATTTTCCCCCAAGCAATACTATTTCTCCCTGTCAATACTATTTCACCCCGGGATGAAAATGAGAATGCCCAATAGATAGGACTACTGAAATAGGTTGGCAACAATGCACACAGTATCACAGAAGAGCCTGTCCTATCTGATAGTAAAGAGAACAAATCAGGCTTTCTCTCAATATGCCCAAGAAAAACTGTCTCTTGCTGCAAACATTCTTCCCCAAGTGAGTTTTGCAAAATTAATGACATAGCCCTTTAATTTTGAAAGCAGATCCGTGAATCAAGGCATCATGTTTTCTTGCGTCTATATGCAAAAACTGTGCTGTTTGAAGAAATATGTGTGTGGCTCACTGATCTTTTTTTTTTCACACTAATTTTTTCTATTTTTTACCAAAGGGTCTCTGTAGGGCAACCATACAAAATTATGATCATTAAAAAATTAGGTTTTTAAAATTAGAACATTTTTAAAGAACATGGCTGTTGATTTTTGTGAACAAGAGCAGTAAAGATACTTCAAGAAACATAGTGGTTAGGAGGCTAGGGAGCTGGACTATCTGAGTGTGATTCTTAAATCCTTCCCTCACAAGCTAATTCATTTTGAACAAATTATTTAATGTCTTGGAGTCTCAAGTTTTTTTATCTCTAAAATTAATATAATAATAGTAGCTACTGAATAATAGCTATTCATTAGTATAATAATAGTAGTCATAACAATAAAATGAGTTAATACAGTAAATTATGTAGAACAGTGCCTGGAATATAGTTATTATAAGTAATAAATATTTTAATGTCATATGTACAGCCCTTGCATAATGTAATTCTTCATGGCACAGGAGTATATAATACGAAGGCCAAAAGTATACAACCAAAATGAAAGTGATACACTATTGAGGGCAGAAATATCATGGTAGTTTGTTTCCAAAATAATCACATCTATTTAATGTTCTGAGTAAAAACTTAGCAAATAAAGTAACAACAGCAGCGAACATTTAGTGAAAACCTACTATGTACCAGGCACAATCCTAAGGACTGTGCCTACATCACTGAATCCTCGGATCGCCACTAAGAGGCATAATATAATTATGTACGAGCAACCCGATTCCATAGATTAATCCCTGGGGTAAAAAAGCCTAAGCAATTTAAGCGCATGCTGAAAGCTGAGTTCTGGTTGGGATGTGAACAGCCTACCTCATTTTCATATGGTTCATTTTGCAGTGAATAAATTTTTGGTCTAATATTTAAAATACACATTCCCGAGCCTAACGTCACAATGCCATTTGTCTGGGGACATTTATTAAATGGGCCCCATTATGACAGCATTAGATAGAATCAGCTAAATCTGTAAGTCATTCATCCATTAAGAAATTTTCCATTTCTGAACAGAGCTCTCAGTGTAAAACCATTTTGGTGACTGAGAAGATTTATATAAAGCAAAGGCCTTTCACCAGCCCCAAGTTGGCACCAGGCTTTGTGGAAGTTTTTCAAATAAACATTCACCATCTATCACCTGTAACAGTATAATGTCTGCATATACACCTTTGGGTAAACTTCTACCCTCCCGAGTGATTGGAATTCTTATGAGCTCGCTTTATTTATTCACCAGGTCGAGAGCCTACTAAGTGCGGAATGAAATCAATACTGTCACTGGAGGAATGTTTGTGGGCTGTCTTCTTTTTCCGTTTAGATGAAGTCAGCAGCCTTTTTTGTGTGTGAGCACAAGAAATTTATTCATAATTGTTTTGCGTTCATAATACTTTAGATTCCTCAGCCTTTACTTAGGGACCTCTTTTCCAAGGCACAATTCTGGATATTGATTAAAAGAACCGTCTGGCTTTTATTCCAAAAGCAATGACACACATATTTGTACCAATTATGTAGGAAACAGTACAGAAATGGTATATCGAGAGATCTCATATCCGAGTGCCTTTAAATGCAAGACAATACAGTTAAACATAAATCATACTTCAAGCAACTAATGCCAAGGCCACCCCTTTTTAATTCTACAGCTTTCTCCCTTTTTAACTAACTGAACATTATAGAAAAACGTATCTGTGCAAAAAAGGAGAAATATGCAGAACCTCCCACTTTTACTTTTTATAATCTCTTTCAGGAGGATACTGAGCTGATTACAAATGCTCGTTTTCCATTATTGGACATTTCTGTCTGGGTGCAGCACAGAAGGCAAGTCATTCGGGGTCAAATGTTAACATGAAAATTAGATTAAAATCTTTCCCCGCAGTTGTCACTGTGATCTGCGAAGGGAGATCAACACGCACCCCCAGCTCCACTTTCCACTCAGTACCAGACTTTACCCTTCTTTTCTGGCAACACATTACTAAGCTCATAATCTGAAGTCAAGCTGTACCTGAACTCCTACTAATACTTAGCGAGCTGGACATTACACAAAAATACTGGGAAAGGTATACTGGGGACCTAACCCATCTTCTGCCTTGATTTGGTGTTCAACTTCTACTGACTCTGTTTCAAAACTAGGATTTATTAAGCATATACCATTTGTGAGCTATTTAACATACTGTTTTAACTTGTTTTTGTTTTACTGAATTTAAGGAAAACCATCATGGCACTAATTAAATTAGGAGATGAAAAGGACAGCTGTTATCCTTGTTGGGAGTGATTAGAATACTTAGGTGGAGACACACTTTGGGAGGGACATTTTGATCATATCTCCTTTCAAGGTTGCAATTCAAATAATGTAAGTCTTTGAACTTGTCAGTGAACAGACAGGGCATGTGGCGACTGGTGTAGACCAGACTCTCTCCTCTGCCTAAGTTCTGTAATAGTCAGTCTGACCCAGTGGAAGAGAGCTTAGAATGGAAGGCTTTAGTAACCTTATGCAAGTCAGATATAATCACATCTCCCTTTCCTCACCTTTGGAAAGGGGATCCTCCCCTAACTTCTTCAAGGCTCAGTTTCTGCATTTATACAGTGGAGCTTATTTAAGTATCTCTTCCGAGGGTTTTCGGAAGATTGAATGAGATAATCACAGAAAAGTAGACACTGCCTAATCCATAGTCGGCATGCAATAATGTTAGCTACTATTATTATATTGAGGATTAAAAGATATTATTTTTGTGAAAACAATCATTTTATTGTAACTTAATAATACTTGTTTCTATAGGATCATTCACTAGTCTACTGTTGATTGCTACATAAAAAGCTTTAACTCAATAAACACATTTATTAAAAAACTGCATAAAAATTTGTATTTGTCTTTAACAGCAGAGGGCTAAACAAATGTCAATTGGATACATGTTTTATTTTATTTATTTATTTATTTTTATTCAATTATTGGGATTACAATGGTCAATATGAACATACAGGTTTCAGGTGTGGGTTTCTATGTTACAAGATCTGTATATTGCTTTGTGTGCCCACCACTCAAAGTCGTATCTTCTCCTGTCACCATGTATTAAGACCCCCTTCATCCCCCCCACCCCCGTCCCTCTGGCAACCACCACACTGCTGTTTGTGCCCATGAGTTTTAGTTTTATATCCCACGTATGAGTGAAGTCATATGGTTCTTAGCTTTTTCTGACTGACTTATTTCACTTAGCATAATATTCTAAGGTCCATCCATGTTGTTGCAAATGGCAGTATTTCAAGGTGTTATATTTTAAAAAGTGGAAGAAACACACTAAGAAACATGATTCTGCCCAGCCAGTGTTGCTCAGTGGTTGAGCTTCGATCCATGAACCAAGAAGTCACTGGTTCGATTCCTGGTCAGGGCATATGCCCGGGTTGCGGGCTCGATCCCCAGTGTAGGGCATGCAGGAGGCAGCCGATCAATGTTTTTATCTCTCTGTCCCTCTCCCTTCCTCTCTCTCTAAAATCAGTAAAAACATATTTTTTTAAAAAAGAAACAGGATCCTATGCCAAATGAAAATTTTTCTAGAATCTTCTCTGATTGGCAGCATTATCATTTCATTGCATATCAGAAAAGGTAGAAGGCACTTCTTAGGAGAAAGAAGATGGGAAAAAAGAACAGCTGTTAAGTTTCTTTCCACATGTGTTTTGACGGCTAAGTTAGGCCTGCTTATTAGTTTAGTCCCACCAGGGACTTTTGCTGCCTATAAAATCTTTCATTGCAGAACACAAGTTGTCTTTATTATAAATGTGAGTAATTTAACTTAGTAGTACTGTATCCCTAAATCCATTAATCTCTTCTCCACTCAACTTGGGTTTAAGAAGAATATATTTGGTTTAAAGACTGAATATTTAGAGTTTTTCCATCATCTGGCATTTTTTGAATCATCGCTGAATTTGCCCAGAGAATGCTGACCTATAAACTACTAATCTCAATGATATGATGACTACTCCCCCTGGACTAATACAAAACTTACACATTATACATTCCCAGTTGCTAAGATAGTGGAATACAAGTGTACACCAAGATTTTTTTTTTAGCAATCTGTGATTTCTAAATTGAAAACTGAGGACTAAAGCTTGCCTCTTGCCCTGAACTGAAACAGTCAAGCAATAACCCCCAAAAACAAGTGAGCTTCCAATTACATTCTTGAGAGCTAATCTAATATCATCTATTTCGACATAATCAAATTCTTCAATAAGTGGGCAGACTGAAAATCTACTTGGTAATCCTTTGTAGAATTCTAGATTCTAACAAAAGCTACAACTTTTTTCCTACCAGCCTTACAAAGAACTCTTTAATTACTGACTTCCATAAATTCCCCATTGTCTGCCACTGGTTGGAAGTTACCACAGAGGGTTCTCTGTTTAATTGCTTTTCTTTTATGGACAGAGTTAAAGATTTATTGCCGGTAGGCCTGACACCTATAGGAACTTTTGCTTTCAGAAATAAATTCTTTGATGTTTAATTGGCCATCTATTTAGAGGGCCATTATTACAAAGAGTGTACTTCGAAATAATTGTAATTATAAAACTGTAATTTTAAAACACAAATTAGGAGAGGGTATGATATATATTACTGGATGGTCATCAATACCATACATGAATAGAATATATGCAAAACAATATTTTAACAAAAGGCATGATACAATTCAAATAGATGGCATTCTATTTAATTTCTATCAAGTATTTCCTGAGAGCTCAGTTTGTTCATATAAGATTAATTAGGTACTGTGATGGAAGATAGGAGGGCGTGGTTATAAATGAAGACCGTGACATGGTTTCTATTTTTAGAGATTTATATTATAAAGGGGTGAATATAGACATCTGAAAGAAGAAAATACTATATGATTACAAATAATCAAGTGTTAAACAAGCAGTAGAGGTACAGAAAAGGTGAGATGAAGAAGGTATTATTGACATCCTTCAATAATAATAGCTGCTCTTCATTGAATGCCTATTAAGTATCAGGGATTTTATATGTATTATTTATAAAATTAAAAAAATAATTTAGTAAGTGATTTGGGCTTAGAATCTCATACACCTAGAATAATTTCTCTTTCTTAAATTAGATTCTATTCACTTATCCATCCAAGCATCCATCTATATACATCCATTTACCCATATAGGATGTCTTTAGTTTGCTAATTCTGGATATTTATAAATTCTGGAGTGTGCTATCATCAAAGTATCTTCCATGAAGCAGAAGATAGTGTTTCTTAATCAGTATAAAGTACCACAGATCTTAAGAGGAGACAACTTATCAATATCATGTAAACATTCTTAAAAGCCTCTTACTATAACTGTAAACAACACAGTCTTCCATAGCTTTTACGTTCTCTCTTTCTAAACATCTAATCCATAGTTTTCCAAAGCAAAGTAGAACAAAAGCACTTTTAAAGATACCTCAAAACTCATACTAAGTGAAATATGTCAGTCAGAAAAAGTCAAGAACCATATGATTTCACTCATATGTGGATGTAAAACTGAAGGCAACCAGTGAACAAACAAGACAAACAACAAAAAGACCCTCATAGACAAAGATAACAGTACAGTGCTTACCAGAGGGAAGGGGGGTGGGCAGATAGTAAAGGGCAAAGGGGGCCAAATATATGCTGATGAAAAAATATTTGACTTTGGGTTGTGGGCACACAATGCAATATACAGATGATGTGTCATAGAACTGTACACTTGAGGGGGTCAATGGGAGGAAAAGAGGGACATCTGTAATACTTTCAATAATAAAGATACATTTTTTAAAAAGAATTAAATCTCAAAAAAATAACTGTATGCTTGAAACTTACATAATTTCATTAATCAATGTCACCCCAATAAATTACATATATATTAGCATCAATGCACACAAGGATTTCATTTCTATTGAGAGAGATACCACAAAAATAGCAGAGAGTCCCAAAGTGAAATTTACTTTACCACTCCGAGACTCTTTGCTGGTGTGAAGTGGATGGGTTATACTAGAGCAGTGCAGTTAGAACTGTGCTCCCTTGGGACCCACTGGAGATGGGGACATCTACTGCCCCAGGTCCTCACTCCACTCAATCAGCATGGATCTGTTTTAATCTTATTTATTTATTTATTTATTTATTTGACAAACTAGAAGACTTGTACAAAGTGATCTTCAGCTTACACAGACTTTGAGAACCACCAAGTTTTTCTAAAGTTTCATGTAACGGACTACTTCTACCGATCTATGGAAATACAAGACAATAATAGTAATTCATAATTAATTCTGTACTTCTGTGACATATAAGAGAAATGTAGATTTGAATAGTTAGAGTCGTTTAAGAGAATAAAATATTCTCCAGGCTAATTGGTTCTAATTATAAAATGACTCAAATTAGAGAACGTTGGTAATTAGCTATGACTCCATGGTATTAAAACAAAAGCTTGTGTACACTATAGTGAGTGAAAAAAATGTGATTTCTTTGCCGAGTGGAAGTCTCCTGGCTTAAACTGCATGCTGTATGATGAAAAATATGCTATTTTAGAATGACCTGTCATCTAGATAACTATATGATTAAAGCGTAAACTTCACATGAGCAATAGCAAAAATCTAGTTGCAAAATGCCCAAATCTAACCCACATGAGAGGCTTACGTCAATTTCCTGTGTATAATAATTGCGTATTTTGTATGAAACTAAATTTGTTTATACAAATGTTCATTTACAGTTTTGATTCTCGCATTAACCATTTATACCACAAACCATATGATATTTTACTATCTGAATTTTTAAATGCCTTTAGGAAATAAACTAGCTTAATTCTTGCAGTATAATATAGCAGTTTACTGCCAGGAGCTTTAACTATGCAGATTTTAGCTCATTTAAAAAGGCCATTATCTATTTAGCGACCCATCCATCCATCCATCATCCATCCATCCATCCATCCATCCATCCATCCATCCATCCATCCATCCCTTTACCAAACTTTTGCCCTCGGTAATAAATAGTTGTCCTTTTAAAAGATCTTTTTCTATAAAACAACAGTGCTTCACTTGTGTATACACTTACTGGAGCAGAGTTTCCGTTCGGCCCTCTCGATCTAACCATTCTCCCCAGGACCTCAACACCATCCGCCGTGATATTAGCCGATGCATTGATCGCCTTCTCTCCCACTTGCTTGCAGTCAATAACCACTTTGGCCAAAGTCTTGTTGACAACAACGTGTAGCTGGGTAAAAGTCAAGATGTCTTAGCAGGTAAGAAGGAACAGGAATATCAACCAAATTTACATAATTGCATGACTCATCGCTAAACAGTGTGAAATAGAAGAGCTGGAGTCCAGTCACTCTGCATTTTGCTAGAGGAGAAAGGCTCTGCTTTTACCACCTCCATGACTGTCCCACAGTCGGGTCTCATCTCTGCTCTTATTTAATTAATACTTTTCTTTAAAGTAACTTTGAAGTGATTCGCTTTTTAAAACTCTAGCCTTCCTCTAAAGCAGCAATATTCTGAAACCACAGGGTTATGGCATGAGTTATGCCTTTTCTGAAAGCACATTAAACTAAATATGGCAGTGCTAAAATGTAAAAACTGCTGGTTGAATTACCAGCAAAAGTTACCTGCGGTACTACTGGCAGCTAGCAAACCACACTTTAATAATATTTTATTTAATTTAAGGTGAGGAGAAAAGATCTAGAGTCTAAAGGGGAAGGAGGAATGCTTTCTAGTGACTTCGGGCCCAAATGGAATAAAGCTCTTTGGCTTCATGTACGATTCAATTTTCTGAAACTGGAATCTCTAGAATCTGAAGGCCCACGGTAACATACTCAGGGCTCTACACATTCTTTGTTAGGAGTTGTTAAAATATCCATTATCATGTAGGCACAACAGAGTCAGAATTTCGTTATATAATTGTTCATATGCAGTGACGCTATTCAAAACCCCAGAATGTGGCCAAGCTGTGTGTCTGACCACGTCTTATGTCAAGAGGCAGGACCAAGATGAAGACTGCTGTGCTAGAGCCCTTTTCTCACTCTAACAGGGCAGGAAGGGCTGGGTTAAGAGGCTTTTGCCAGCACCACCTAGTAAATGCTCTGCTCTCCCTGCAGTCTTGGGGTTGCATGCCTAACAGCCCAGAGATCAGTGGGTTGTTTGCCAAACACAAAAGAAACAGTACATCTTGGAAGGAAGCATGTCTACTCCACTGATGACCAAAGCTAAATGTTTCCGAGATGTAAAATGTTAAGGAACAGAGCTCTTATCACAAGTGCCAAACTAAAGAGAAAGTAAAGTCAGGTTTTACAAAATTTGTCCTCAGGGTAACTTTTATGATGGCAGTGATGGGTTGTCTGTATATATGTAAAAAAAAACAGTGCAATCAGTTATATCTATCTTTACGTTTTAACATGATTCAGCTGATTGTGCCTTTCCTCTGCACTGGTAGCCAGGTAGACCAGCAATTGTTTCTATGTCACACATAATGCCCACTTAATAATATGGTACCCTCTATTAAATTGTTCCTCATGGTGGGAACCTGGACCACTTCTATCATATCTCCTGGGTTACCTGCTAAAAAATGCACATTTCAGGGTCCCATCTCAGAACCTCCAGAGCAGAATCTCCAGGCATTGTTAACAAGCTCCACAGGTAATTCTTTCTCCAGTTGAAATTTGAAATCCAAAGCTCTGTGAAATATTTTCACCTCTACCTGTTGCTTTGGTCACAGTGAACAGAATAAAGAATATGTGTACATGAAGCATTACTCACCTTGTGAAAGCTTCCATGGAAAATTTTCCTAATTTCAGGTCCTTCAAAAGTCACAGTTTGAAAGTCGCCACCGTAGTCATAGTTGAAATAGGTTAGGGTTTTCCCACCATCTAATCGAAGAAAAAAGAAAAACATTTTAGAAAAAATTAAAATGAGTAAATGATTTTCTACAGTTCAACTCAAGACTGAAAATAATGCATCCACTGTTTTGAAGCTCTGTTTCGAACAATGTGATGAGGAAGGAAGGAAGGATCACAGTCCTTGGGCTGTCCAGGTTTTTAGCTGGCCGGACTGACTTAACAATGGCGAGGGAAGGGCTCCTACACATATTCTTCCTCTCTACACCCCTGCCTACACTCCCAACTCCATCACCCTCCTGAAAGAGGGTTGCCTGAAGCTAGGACTAGAGGCAGGCAAAGAGGGAGAACCAAGTGAATTCAATCTTAAGAAACAGAAACCAGGCTCTTTGCCTAATTAACCTACTACAGCCACCAACTTTCCCAGGACATGCAACTTACACCACCCCAAAAGAATGATATTCCAATATATCTTTTATTATGGACAGAGGAAAGCCTTCTTAATCTTGAGTATTTCATGTTACAGGGGATATTTTCTTACACGGAAATAGGAATATTTTTCTCACAAATTCATTCCCAGGTTACAATTTGATTCTTCCCTCCATTATCAAAGGAAAGTCTGAACCACTGAGAAACTTCATTGTTTTCAAGTCCTGGGTATATATGGAGTTAGTGGCTTACCCCTTTTTAATCTATAACTTTCCCTTAGTTTTAATATCAGTGCAAAATGCTTTCACAATATCATATTTAGTTGTTGATTCATTTCCATGTACTGAAAAGTCCTTTCACAAGCACTAGTTGAAAACAAGCTTAAAATACTTTCTTTATCCAAATGTTTGAGTTAGCACCTAAGAGTAGCCACACAATCTTGATTCCTAGCTTCATTGCAATTCTAAACTAAAAATCTATTCAGAAAACTCATTGACATTAACCAAACACTTGATGATCTTCTTAAGTGATCATTATGTGCGTGACATCCAACAACGTGAGGTTAAGAAGCTTCTTTCATTGGTTCCTTCTCAACTTTTCAAAACCCAAACAATGGTGTTCCCCAGTTTTCAGACCTGTTCTCTTTCTAGACTCACTAGCTAGATGACCTCACCCACAATGAGGTCACAATGGCTTATATATCACACAGACACAACTTCAAAGTTCACTTCTCCATCTCAGAATTCTTCCCAAATATACTGCTGGCAATCTGACAGGTTTTTTTGGATTATGAAATAGGCATCTTACAACTATCATATCCATGTCCAGAAAATGAACTTCTGGTCTCACCCCTCTGACTGGCTCCCCCTTCTCCCATCAACCTCGCTCTTCCTGTAGTCTTCAGTGTCTCAGTAACTGTCCCTTTCACCTGCTCACTACTGGATCCCAGAGCCCAGTGCTGACACACAGTAGGAACTCAGCGGATATTTGTTGAGAGAACGAGTGAATAAATGAATGAGTCAACTGTTACATAATTCACTGTTAGTACTTACTGACACGGTTTAAGTGAGTTATACACAGGCCAGGCAAGATGGCATGCCACATACATCATTCATACATGTGTGTGCAAATGTTATATAAATATACTTACTATCTAAAATAACTCCAACCAATGGGTCCGAATTTTTATTTAAAATCTCCCAAAGAGCAAATGGCTCCTCTGGAGTGTCAGGAAGAATCCGGAATAGGAAACTGATCGTATAATCAGAAGGCAATCCTTCTGGATGCAAGTACCTGAAAATGGAAAGAAAAAAATATTTTATTGTATCCCTCCTCAAAAGGTTACTTGTCTGATTATAAAAGCATAAATAAAAATCTTAAGGAATCCACCTTAAAATGTTGAATAAGCAAGACTGTGTTTATAAAACTTCAGTCGATGGCTTTGAAGAGATTCAAAAATCACACACTGCAGTCATCCAACAGTGAAATAAAAACATTGTCAGCTAACCCCTCTCCCCCCAAACACAAAAAAATGTGGACACTGAAAATGTTTCACATTAAAACACTGAAGGCATTTTGAGACAAACGTTGACTTGGAATGTGCAGTGGCAGATCTTGAGAGATGACCCCTTAAGCCAGGAAGTCTCAACTGTAATCTCAAGTACCTCCAGAGCCTGCAGAATGACTGCAAAGGACCCCAGGAATCCCTAGGTGTAGCACAGACTGTAAAGCAAGGAGGTAATGTGATTTTTATGTAAATCCAATACTACTCTTCAGCTATATGGGGCTGCTGTTACAATTTTTCAAAAATATAAAAACCATCTGAATTCATGGCACTAACATGAAATGGCTCAAAGAAGGATGTGGGCCTGATGGTCAGGTGCAATTCCCAACATTGTCACTTAACAAAGTATGTGATCTCACTCAAGTCGTTCCTTGTGCTTCAGTTTCATTATCTGTAAAACTGAGAAAATAATTGAATCTTCCTTGTAGAGCGGTGTGGAGGTTTGAGTGAGTTAATATACACAAGCATGTAGAACAATGTCTGAATTATGAAAGTGCTATATATCAGCTATCTTCATATATTTTTTTTAGATCAACAGATACTAAAGTTCAACCAGCATTATATATGAGTCTAATGTTTTTAAACAAAGAAATCTAAACATCATCTGCTCTAAATATTATAGAAAATCCTACTGGGGACTATTACAGCCTATCATAAGTGGGCATAATTTTCACATTGAGATGTAATAAACAAATGATTGGTTTTAGTATCTTGCAATGGAAACATACTTGGTTGGCTGGGAAACCAGGGCATCTTTATGAAGTCGGTAACAAGGATACACATTGAAGGTACCAGGTTCCATAGAAACTCCATCCACGGATGAAAAATCCTTTTCAACCAAACCAAACATTTCCATCATCTTAAATCCTAAAAACAAATAAACAAACAAAAACAAACAAACAGAGAAAAAGAATAAACAGGGATTTTAGACTTTTAAATTTCAAAATTAGCCTATTAAAATTTAAAAGAAAAATATGGACCCCAAATGGGAGTTAATATATTTCTATTTGGAAAAACTGTGATAATGCATACCTGCAAGATCAATGCCATCCTTTTGCACCAGTGGGCAGGCTGGAAAACAAAACAAAACAAACAGTATAAAAACCCTAATTTAGATATTTTCCAAAACATATTCTTTCCCTGCCCTGAGAACAGGAAGCTAACAATCTTTCCGGAAGTCAGTGGTGAAAGGAATCCAAACCATATGTGGCTACAGTTTTCTGTGGATTCCTAAATATGGAAATGCTCTCACTTCTTCTATTAACACCAAAGGGGCATCTCCTTCTCCTCTCCTGGGTCCACGAAAACCTACAGTGGTCACTTAGGAGCATGTGTTGGGATAGTCTCACTTCTAATGCATTACCCTGATGTATTAATGTCTTAATACATTTTTTAAAACTATTTGCTACAATGTCATCCCAATAAATTTAATTTTAAAAAAGAGTTGCATTTAAACACAGGCTCTCATCTTGATTAGGATGGTCTTGATCAACCTAAAACTCTACACCTGGGAGAGGGTAGGTTTACTTCCAAATGCTCTAAAACATAAAACAATGTCTGCATAACAAACAGCTCTGCGAGACAATATTCTTTCCTTAGATTAAGATGGGACCCATTATTTAACTGGTATGAAACATCTCAGCCTTGAAGCAACATGAGTAAGCACGTTTCAAAGAACTCACTTGCGGAAGCGGTTTCGCAGACAAAAGTAATCAACTCATCTTCAATCTTCTTAAAGGCGTCGAAGTCATCCACAAAGAAGACGTGGCGCGCGCTGGGCTTGCTGCCAATGCTCACCAGCTCCGAGTAATCTGCATCGGCCACGCCGATTGCAAAAATGCTGTAGCCTGTGGCAGAACGCAAACAGATTTCTGATTACTTTAAATTGCACAAGATACAAGTATTGCAATATAAGACATCCACATGTTTAAAATATGTTTGTGAAGGAGGGCTAGTGGGGTGGATAATTCATTCTTTATAGTTCATCAGAATTCTGCCTGCTCGTATTTCATTATATGAAAATTATTCCATCATCCCCTACAGAAATTTTCCATTTTAAAGAAACTCAAGAAGGCCTATGCCCCCTTTAGTACTTGAGACAAAACAGTTACCGTTTGAGTAACATTGTTATGTCTGCATGTTTTTAATAATTATTTTAAAATTTATACGATGCAGTGTAGTTGAAACAGAGAAATTTTATCTCAGCTTTTATTTCAGATATAGAAACTGAGATGTTAATAGGCTTAGCAGCCTGAGGTGGGTCATGGGTCAATGCTTGGCAAATAAACAGTAAACTACTATTTGCCGGGCATATCTTACATAATGTAATCTTCATGACACTGTTATGAGAATCCCCATTTTACAGATGATGAGGCTGAGGCGCTTCTATGCAGGTTCCCTCCCTGGCCCTTTGTAACTAGGTCTTTTGCATAGTATTGCACTTAATTGCTGGCATTTCTTATATAGGGAATCTTGCGTGTAGCAAAAAGTATTGGAGGAAATACAGCAAATAATAGATTTGTAACCTGGAAAGTATCTTTAAAATCACAGTGTCCAGGTATATGAAGAAAGACTTAGAAATATTTAAGCCATACAGATATAGCTTACGAACGTGTATGCAGAAAACAGCAGTGCTACCATATTGGTAGCCACTATTGCTCATCTGTGTAAAACTCACCATCTGATTGCATCTCCCTGGAGATTTTGTTCACGTCATCTTGTGATCGCCCATCAGTTATGACCACGATGACCCTCGGGATGCCTTTTCTGGTCCCTGAATCTGAATTAAACAAGGTATCTCGGACATGCTTAATTGCTTTTCCTGAAACAAAGGAAGGCAACAGTTCATTTTCATGACCTCCTATTTTTGTTCTGCTGGGGAGGGAAGGGTAAAAACAAAGTTCTTAAATCAGTGAAAAATTTTTTAAAAATAAATCTATATTATTATGCCTAAAAAAAAGGTGACTTTGGATGATTAGATAATGAAGATGTGGTGTATGTATATATATATAAATAATATTCAGCCATAAAAAGATGAAATAGTGCCACTTTTGACAACATGTACAGATCTTGGGAATATTATGCTAAGTAAAATAAATCAGACCAAGCCCGGCCAGGCATGGCTCAGCGGTTGAGCATCGACCTAGGATCCAGGAGATCGGGGTTCAATTCCCGGTCAGGGCACATGCCTGGGGTGCGGGCTAGGCAGCCGATCAATGACTCTCTCATCATTGATGTTTCTGTCTCTCTCTCTCTCCCCCCTCCTTTTCTCTCTCTGAAATCAATAAAGATATGTTTAAAAAAAAAAAAAAATCAGACCCCAAAAAAAGAAAAGAACCATGTGATTTCACTTATATGTGGGATATAAAGCAAAAAAGCAACACATGAACAAACAAGATAAACTCATAGACAAGACAACAGAATCACTGGGAAGGGCACTGGTGGGGGGCGGAGAAGGCGACGGGAGTCAAATACATGGTGGCGGAAGGAGACTAGGGCTCGGGTGGTAAGCAAACAATAGCGTATACAGATGTCATATCATGAAGTTGTACACCTGAAATTTACATGATGTTATTAACCAATGTTATCCAATAAATATAATTTTTCAAAGGTAATTTCACTAATTACTAATAGTTAGTTACTTTAGGTCTTAACTGGACTTTCTTTGGTCTTACCTGTTTTTGTATTTCCTCCTTTGTATGAAATACGTTTAATTGCATCAAGAAGAGTCTCTTTGGTTTTGTAAGTGTTTAGCTTAAATTCTGTTCTGGGGTCATCAGTAAACTGAACCATTGCAACCTGGAGAGAGAAGGTGTACTTGGTTTTACATATACATAGATTTCTCCTGGGCCAGAAAGCACACACAAGATATCCACAATTTAATTTCTTACTTAACCCAGTCCACAGTTTCCTCGGTTTAAAATTCCATACAAGTTACGTACCAAATCTGATGACACATTAAATAGAATTTTTTCTCTGAGTACCTTTCAGAAACTATTTTTAAAATCTCTCTCTAATGGTTGTGGGTTTTCAACAGATGGAAAAATGGCAGCATAAGCCTTGTAACTTGACCAAGGTCAGAGAATCAGAGTTGGATTCTTTACAAGGATTTATTATTATTATTATTATTATTTTAATCCTCACCAAAGGATATTTTTTCCATTGCTTCTCAGAGAGAGTGGAAGGGAGAGAGAGAGAAAGAGATCAATGCGAGAGACACACATCGATTGGTTGCCTCCTCAGGGCAGGAGATTGAGCCTACAACCGAGGTACATGCCCTTGGCTGGATTCAAACCCAGGGCCCTTCAGTCTGCGGGCCAATGTTCTAACCACTGAGCCAAACCGGCTAGGGCATTACAAGGATTTCTTTACAGAGCAAACCTGTGAAGGACTTACTACTGTCCTACCATTTTACAGATGTTGAAACTGAGGCGCTCAAAGTCAAGTAACTTGCACAAATCACAAGAGTAGTCACTGGCAGAACCAACAGTTGAAGCCAGGTATATTCTACTTCAAAATCTGTTCTTAACTACTGCAATATAAGCCTTCCTGGCTCCATTTCCTACAATTTACTTTCATTTTCGTGGAACTTTGGGGCCATTTTTAACTCACCGTTTTGTTTGTTTTTCAGAACTACAACGAGGGTAGTAAACACAGTATCTTCAGGTTGCTTTCTCTGATTTCACAGGCCTTCAACTGCTACCAGTTTATCAAGGTCTACTGCAGACATCACCGCCTTTAGGAAACCTCCTCTAATTCCTCTATTCAAAACAAATTCCTGCCTCCCTGAAATGCCTCGGCAACATGATGTATCCTGCTCATACATTCAACTGCTCTTCCAAAGCAAAGGCGTTCATTTCAGTGCATCCCTTGCTACCATCCTTGCCAAGACCTCCATCATCTCTCTGATGGACGATGAAAGCAGCAACTTAACTGGTTCTCTGCTCCATTCCTACCCTTATTAATATTCACACTCCATAAAGCAGCTATTAATCTTTTTGAAAAAGCACATCAGATCTTTCTGCTGGCTTCCACTGCATTTATGATGACCTCCAACTCCTTCAATAGTCCATTAGACTCAAGATAACCTGGCTTTTGTCTACTTCTCCCACCTCTTCTGCTCTCCACATGCTCACCCACCATATTCCAGCTATAAGTTTTAGTGTCTGAAGTCTCAAATTCCATCCTTATCTTAGATCCTTTGCACTCACTATTTTTCTTGTCTGGAAAGTCTACTCTCAGATCCCTTTGTTATCATTTACATCTCAGTTCAAAAACCACCTCCTCAAAGAGGCCTTCGTTGACCACAAAATTTAAAATACCCCTCCTACACACACACACACACACACACAGACACACACACACACACACACACACTTGTAAGTAATAACCCTCAGGGAATTTAAATCCTATCACTGTTTTCAGAGCTCACCTCCCTACCTCAGGAATCTATTTATTTGCCTATTTCTATCTGTCTCTCGCCCTCCTCCTCTCTATGCCTTTAAGAGTATGATCACCAAGACATTAAGGACACTGTTTGTCATATCCATTATGACAGCACTGTGTCTGGCCATAATAAATTCTCAATAAATATTTTTGGAATGAATAAGTTAGTTTTATGTTCTACTTGATCTATACTAGTGTGACCACAACCCCCGTCTTTCAAGACTTTAATGTCCTTGAGAGCAGGGGAAATACTGGGTGTACCCATAGAGGAGATGCTCTACCCTAGTATATATAAAAGGAGCATCTGCTGGCATGGCCATTCTAACCGGCCTTAGTTTGCTGAACTCAGTAGCTTTTAAGGACTAGCATCTTCCCAATCTCCATCAGGCATCAGTAAGCTGCTTCCAAACCCAGACCCGTGTATCCTCTCGTTTAGGGATAGATCTGATCATTAAAGTTCTTTATCCAGATTCCCTGACTAATAGCCATAATAATACATTAGAATAACTTCTTAATGCATATAATGAATTAATAATTGACCTATTAGCCTTACTTGAGTTCCATCTGCGCCGATCTTGTTCAGGGCTCCGACAGTGTTATACAGAAAGTCAGTGATCTTGTTGAAATTTTCATCTCCAATACTCCAGGATCCATCCACCATAAACACCAGGTCTGCCTTGGCAGCTTTACATACTGAAGACCAAGAATAAAAATTTTTAATCAGACATAAGAGGAAAACATAGCTGTTATTAAACCAACAAAGCAGATAGTGATTTCCCTCTGGTATCTCGAGCTTTTTCCTGGAGAAAAGATATCATTCCTTTAAGGTTTATATCCCAAACTCTTCCTCCTTATGCTTTCTGACCATCATTTCTCTTCGGCACTCAAGGTTCCTATTCACAACTGGGAAGCTTCTAGTAAACATGTGGAATTTGAAAGGAAAAAAATCCACCAACCTTAGTCCCAAAGAACAAAAATGAGAGAAGAGAAAAATGTGGAACTGAAGAGATTCACAGACAGAAGACTCAGTAAACATTTTTAGTGCCTATGATCAGCAGGAAGGTCAAGCCATGCACCGAGTACCCTGTCCTCTGCCTGTTGAGTTAGTCATTCAGAGTGAGTCAACTTCAGGAGGACAGATATGACACCTACAGCTGGGTATGCATTTGCGCTGAGGTCACAAGCAAACTTTAATTACAGCCTCATTCAAACATTCTGTCTGTGACTTTCTGCCACCCGTTGATATGTGCCAAAAAGGTATGTTAATGAAAAAACAGGATCAGTAGGTATTACTGATGCCAACGCTAACAAACAAGCAAAAAATATACCAACAAAGGCCTCCTCCACTGAAAGCATTTTTATTGTCATTTTTTGGTATGTACACTTTCAAACAATCTATGCCTCTTTCTCTTTCATTAGTGTAGATCACTGTGGCTGAGTCTGTTTTACAGCGAAACAATTTTCTCTTCAATAATAATCTGAATCTGCTAAGGTTAGGTGAGTTACATACAAATATTCTTTGAGATAATGTGCCTTTCTCCTGTCTTTAGGGGAAAATATACCCTTCATTTGGTTTTTATTTTTATTCCCTTCAAGCTATTTATTAAGTAAAATAAACCATCTCCAAGTGAGGTATTACTCCAGGAACAATAAGGATCTGGCAAAGCTGTTCTCATGAGTTCTATGATTCATAAAATTGCACAACTTTATGATTTGAATTTAGAGCTGAAAGGGACACAAGACCTGCTAATTATAAGCTTATAAAGGAAAGCCTGGTCCTCTCTTTCCAAGGAAAGATGAAATCTAGATTAGGTTTCACCTATCAAAATGAAAAATTAATAAATCAAAGAAAATACACCAAAATACACGAAGAAATTACCTCTGGGATAGAAAATTGTGTTTTTAGTTTCTTCTGTGTACTCTTTTGTACTTATTAACATTTGTTTAATAAATACTCAATATCACTTTAACAATAAACATTTACAGGCTTTTTAATTAAACACACTCAATACAAACAGAGCCTAAGATGCATAATGCCTTCGAGGTGGAAAAGCCATCTAAAACCATCCTGATGAAAACTTCAGGAGCAAGGTCTCTGCGTTGGCAATCCTCACTCTCACAAACCCTTCACACAACTTCCACAAGCACTCATGAACGTCTACTGAATGATATCCACGTTCAGCTATAAATAAAAACATTCTGACCTCAGAGAGCTCTGTGATATCTGCGCATCGGAAATGTCTAATTAGTAAATTTATCAATCAGGATTCTGCTTTCAGTTCCAACAGTGAAAATAATCATAGCTATCGAGACTAAAGAAGGCTACGTCTAAGCCAGAAGAAGCAAGATTCCAGCACTCCAGCTGGAGCAAGTAGCCCCAAATGATGCCGGGCAGCAGGGGACATGTGCGGGAACCCCAAGCTGTACAATGCTGCTGGGACCTGACGTGACCTGGGAAATGAGCTCACCAAGGAGGCTGCTCATTGCGGACTCTGCGTGCTGTGCTAGGAAGGAGGCTGGCCCTCATTAGAGCTTCCCATTGCCTCTTTGTTTCCGTGACGCTTACACTCTCCGGCACCTGACCCCACTGACTTGAAGCTGCTGCAAGACAGGAAGGACTTCGTTTTCATTGCATCCCCGATGCACAGCAGGTACTTTAAAAGGCATGATGAAAGGAAGATCTCTTCCGAAACAACCTTCCACCCCCTTCTCCCCCGAGCCCTCCTGTCCCCTGCACCGAGGTTAACTTTCTCAAACACGGGTGTCCTCAGAGCAGCGTCCCTTCCTTAAACTCCTCCCGCACACCATGTCCCACAGCACCAAGCTCAAACTCCTCACTGCAGCAAAACCGCCCTGCGCCTGTCTCCGCCCTTCTCCAAGGGCCGCTTCTTGTTTCCCAGACACACTGTGCGCTTAGATCATTCCATGACTTCGAGTGCTCTTCTCCCATTTACTTCCCTGTAAAACTCATTTTTCAAAATGCAGATCAAATTTCTCCTCCCCCTTTACAAGTAATTAACCTGCAGCAGCATTAACTGCTCTCATTTCTGGACCGCCACCGAAGGATCTCCATTTTCAGACTCACATCCTTGACTCGTCATGATCTAGGCAAACCTGCTCTCTTTCAATACCGACCATAAGCACACGGCAGCAATCACACGTTATTACTGTATTTCAGGTGCATTTACGACTCTGATATTTTCAATGAAAAAAACATGAAGCAAAATTCTGTTAGAAAATCTACCCTGTGTCAGAATCCATAATTACAGGGATTTTTATCTATTTTTTCATTCAATATATTTGATATATGATGTTGTATAAATTTAAGGTGCACAACATGTTAATTTGATACATTTATACACCGTCATATGGGTGCCACTGTAGGGATATTTAGTGCCTCTGTCACATTACGTAATTATGGAACAGTGTTGTCCTCAGTGTTCATTATATTGAGCATTAGCTCTGTATGTCTTATTTACTACTGGCTGCAAGTTTGTACCTTATCAGTATTTGATAAGCATTTATATTAAGGAGAAAAAATTTTTTATTAATACCTTGGTTTTTAAATAAACAAACAAAACCAACAAAATCTTCCACCTAAAATCACATCATTATTGTATTCTTTTACCTTCTTTCGCTGGTGGAATGGTTGGAGGAAACGTAGGGGGCTGAGTCGGAAGGGATTCTGGAAAGGAGGGAGAAAGAACATCAATTGGCCATCTCATCCATGGCAAAGAGAAGCAGGTCATGGAGAAGTAATTCTTCAGGGGACTCGATGAGTGGCAGAGCTCTCTTCTTAGAGAGTTTAGTGACTGCTACAAATCAGCCACAGCCTGTGAACACTGGCTCCACCATCCCCTCAACCTTAGAAGGAAGGCTTGAAATGTCACTTCACCAGAGGTCCGTTTACCCAGCAGGAGCTGATACAATCAGACTGTCAACTACAAAGTGGTTCTCATGTTGATTTAAGGCAGGAGTCCTGCCAACGGATTTCACACTAGTCTGGCTGCTTTCACACATGTAAACTTCATTTCCATTCTGCCTAAGTAAGGACTGACCATCAATCCTTGTTCAACAGCGCTCCCCCCTTCTCACCCTGCATCCCCAGGATGTGGTCCCCAGTGGAACCTGATTCCCTCTTTATTCTACCCAGACTGTTTCTGGAAAACTTTCAGTTCTGAGGACCAAATGGTGACAGTGCACCAGCACAGTGACTATCACACCAGTACAAATACCTGTGGCAAATCAGCAGGAAGTTACGGCATCAATAGGAAAGCATCCTAAATATTATTTTTCACATGTTCTTTTCTATTCTTATTTGACACTAAAAAATTAAGAAAAACTGAGAAAATTCTTATCCCAGTTTAACATGTGGTAAGATCTTCAGTAAACCACAGCCATTCGCACAGGGGGATGTTCAGCTTCTGGACACAGAAAGCGCCAAGTAACTGGAAGGATCTGAGCTCAGGCAGAAGGGTTATTTGCCAGGGATGCTGTAAAGGGAATTCCTTCACTGGCAGGAAGGTTGGAAGAGATGAATTTTAAGGTCTCTTCCAAATCTAAGAGCCAATAAAATAAAATTGAGTAAAATTTTTCAATATTTAAAAGAATGAGGTCATTGTATATTACTGATATGAAAAAGTGTTAGACATTAATTATTATGTGAAATGAAGCGAGTCACTGAATACTATGGAATGATCCCATTCGTGAGACACACAAAAAATTCTATCTTTGTGATATATGCATCTGTCAGATATATATCTACATATTTATACTGAAATATGTCTCTCTCTATACATGTGTCAGGTAGGTTTTCTTGGAGGAGACCAAGCTGGCAGCAATGGGTATTTCTGGGCAGGAAGGATGGAGAAACCGGGAGGCTGACAATGTACTTTATACCTTCTGTTGCATTAGTATGAATATGTCAATATATATATATATGAAGTTGTCTTTTAAAGGCAACTTTTGAAGCTAAAAAGTTTCAAAAGTAAAAAAAAAAGAGAAAGAGAGAAATTTTAATACTAAAACTAGGATTGCAAAACTTTCTTTAAAGCACCAAAAAATGCTATGAAAGCCAGATTTATTTATCTTCAAATCCAAGGAAGCAAGATTTGTGCATTTTCTTTCATGTGGAAAAGTGATGCATATCCAAAGTTCAGTCAATAAATCAAGAACAAATCAATGGGAGGCTACAGCAGATAGATCAATACTTCTGGGTAGAACATCTGGCCAAAGAATCCCTTGGGTAGCGAGAACAAAAAACTGATGACACGTGTTTATATCCTCTGTGTGGCATGCAGATGGCCCCTGTCTTCAAGCATGTGAGGGGCTGTCACATAGAAGAAGGAAAGGTCCTGATCTGCGTGGGTTCAGAAGGTTGCACTAGAGCCAGTGCGTGGAAGCTGCAAAAAGACAGATGTCCCCAACATAAGGAAAACATTTACATCAACCTATGCGATTTAACCCTTAGTTGGCAGTTAGTTGGGGTCACAAACTCAGATGTTTTCTGAGGCCAGGCAAGTAATGAATGTGAGCAAAGAACTAGCCCAAACATTAAACAGGAGCAGCCTGAGAGCACAGACACTGTCTAAGGGAGACAGCAGTCACTTGGTTCCAGCAGACTGGCACCGTCAGGGTATGTGTGCCCTGTGCTGTCAAAGCTTTCGAATTTTCAAAACATTTAAAACTTAAAAAGTGTATTATATATATCTCCCAAGAAAACATGTTACCCCATGACCATCACTTTGTGACTTCCAAATGATGACAAAAAAGTACTTGTTCAGTAAGATAAAAATTGAAAAGCTGCTCAACACATTCTCTTTTACTGGATCTTGACCACCACCACTGGGCTGAGAGAGTAGGTATTTCATTTCACTGATGAGCAAAAAGAAGCTCAGAGATGTTGAACTGCCTAAGGCCACAATGCTAGAAAGGGACCCTGCTGAGCCTGTTTGAGGCTAGATCTTGTGTACTACCAGGGCTCTAATAACTTTTAAATGATGTGATCCCCTATCCATAAATAGAATTCTAATCAGCAATAAAAAGAAACAAAATGCTGATACATTCTACAACATGAGTAAACCTCAAAAACACCTGCTAAGTGAAAGATGCCACATGCAAAAGGTTACATATTATATATTTCCATTTATATGAAATGTCTAGAAAAGGCCAACATATAAGTAAAGAAAGTAAATTGCCTGGGGCTGAAGATGGGACTGGGGATTGACTGAATAGACATGAAAGATGTCTTCGGGTTGATGAAAATGTTTCAAAGTTGGACTGTAGTGATGGCTGTACAACTCTTCAGATTAAATAGTATTGAATTGTGCATTTTAAATGGGTGAGTTTTACAGTATAGAACTTATACCTCAAATACACGTATAATATAAATGTTGAATATTTCAGTTATGAAATAAAGTCTTAATATTAGGAAAAAATTAGATGATTCAGTTTATTAAACTTGGGCTTTCTGTTTTTGAAGGTCACACACTGATGATTTCTTTCTGTATGTCCCAGATCAAGTGAGAGACTGACACTTGGGCAGCAGAACTTTCCAAATGTCACACAGATGATAGGGGGGCTTCCCAGAAAGCCCACTGCCCACCGCCTCTTCTGGCACAAATCCTCAGGGATTTGAGTTTAAGTTCAAGATTCTGAGTTAAGCACACAAATGTCCCCCAGAATTCACTGCAGTTCAAATCATTTTGATGCTTGTGGCCTCTAGGTCAGGAATCCTTGATTAAAAGCCATTCCAAGACGTTGACACCCTCCTTGCTCTTTAGAACATGTAAAAAGTGCTTTGTTTTAATTTTATACTTTGCCTTTCCCTTCAGTGCATCAGATCTGCAGCCAACTTGGAAAAAGTACAAGAGCCTCTTAAGTAGGCAATAACTCTAGGGTCAGCCAGTTGGAACATGCTGGCTCCATGCCCACCCGCAGGGCTGTGGTAATATGCCATTGTTTTAATGTCAGGACCCGGTCCTTAAACTTCATTTCACACTCCACATACCACAAATGTTCCTTATGGATACAGATCACAATAGAGGTCATTGTTTCAAGCACTTCGCCTTGTGGAGCATATGGAAGATGGGGAAAAATATACAGATGCTTCAATGGGCCCCTGCAGTGAATGCTGGGACTGGACAGGAGGAACAAATCTTATAGTACAGATATCCCTGGGCAGCAAGAGCTAATATTTTTCTAAATGGAATAAAGTTTTTGAACCCAAACAGGATGCCTAAAAACTATTCATGGAGATGGGGATCAGGAGAGAAGGCACTACACTTACGTGTTTTTTCCGTTACGCTCACACTGGGTCCTTCAATCTCCTGAACTTTTGTGTAAACACTGATTTTATATTGTGAATCAGGCTGAAGTCCGTAGAAGCAATGCCTGCTTGTCCCTCCACCCACAGTAGATTCTTGCTTTTGTGTATCTATAATAAAAACAAAACAAAACACATACACATGAAATTTTTAAAAATAGTCAACAGTGGGTGATTTGCTTCTAAAATGCTTAATATGCCTGGTTTAATCAGATAACTCCAGAATGAATTATACTTGTTTGAGGTATTGTGCTGTATAATTGGTTTAAAAAAGAATCACTGTGCTACGCAAATTTCCATTTATGCAATTTTCCCTCTAGAACAATTGTGCAAATTTACATCTAGATTGATTTTTATCTGATTCATAAGTTGCATCCATCTAGCCAAAGCCTTACACAGCTTTATTTCTAGAAATTCAAAAACCAGTGTCAAAAAACTGCATTGATTAAATACATCACACATATTATTTAGTGGTTAAAAAAATGTCCTTCAAAATGTTATCTGCAGTTAATGAAATATAAACAAAATAGAGAAAACATGAAAAAAGACTAGTTGCTTTTTTAAATGCAAAATGCAAAAATGTTAAATATTTATTTTTGACTATTTTGAAAATATAATGACTATTAAATTTCAACCTATATTTTAATATATAGGAACAAAACATATATATATATACACACACATGTCAGAACAAGCATAACATATGTCATTTAAATTTTTGTCAATGAGCAAATCCTGATTTTTAAAAATATAAGCTAAAGTCATTTGTTCAGTGAAATTTAAAATTTATTTTTATAACTGTGGATATTAAAGAGTGTCAAAAGTGAACTTTATAATATAATCTTTAGTGATATATTTGTTCAGAATGAATTAAGGTCTAACTCAATAATTTCTTTATCACATATTTTGCAAAATGATGAAATGAAAACATTGTTAAGGTGTTTGTAAGATTACATACTGCTGTGAAAGGAGTTTGATAGTAAGGAAATGTTAGTAACCCTGTGCTCTGCTTTGCTGATGTCCAAGTTCAATCTGGCTCAGAACCCCACAAAAGCTGCTTCTTGCTAACCCTTAACCACAACTTTGGAGCCTCTTGCAAGTTTCTGTGAGCCACCTGTAATGCAAACATTTCCTAAATCCTATGCATGAATCACATTTATCTATCTCCATAAAACTTTCCAGGGACTCTCCTGGAATCAATTCTAGAAATGTGCTTTTCTGTCTGTCATCTCTATTTCTTGTGGATACCCATATACTTTACAGACCCTTGACAATAAGAATATAAATGGGTTTTACTTCTAAAAAAAAATCTACAAACCTTTGGAAAACTGGAACAGTCACTGTAAAATTAATGGGAAACAGTATGGTTTGATTCCCAATACTAACAAAGAGGGGTTACATGAATGGGGGTGTATCCATGTTGCTTTTGGCATGTGTGATTCAGGTCTAATGGCTTTGCCCTAAAGGAAAACATTTAAACTGATCAAATGATGACTAATTTCCTCAATCCTTTGTGCCAAAAGCAGCGAGTTAATTTATTTTTTGGAACAGGGAGAAAAAAATTGTCTTTGTGCATTCATTCCTATGAATCAAGGCAAAATACATGCTCTCGGTTGTTAGCATGCTGATAGTGATGCCACCAATTTCACTCACCAAAATATCCTAAGAATAGTTACTGAGATTCCCAACCAAAGAATATACAGAATCCAGGATACTCTGCTGGGACTTTATTATATAAATGCTTCTATTCCCCAAGTGTCTCAAATACCCTGACCCCCAATCATAACGTCACAGCTTCAAAAGTTTAATCATGATCCGGAAACAGCCCAAGTGCCCATCAGCAGATAAGTGGATATGAAAGCTGTGGGACATTTACACCATGGAATACTATGCAGCTGTAAAAAAGATCTCTTACCCTTGGAGACAGCATGGATGGACTCGGCTAATATTATGCTAAGCAAAATAAGCCAGTTAGGCAAAGACAAATATTGCATGATCTCACTTATAAGTGGGGTCTAAAGAACAAAATAAACTGACCAACAAAAAGGTCCAGAGACATGGATGCATGAAACAGACTAATAGATCTCCGTGGGGGGATGTTAAGGGGGAGGGGGCAGGAAGAGATTAACCAAAGAACACTTATACATATATGCATAATCCATGAACACAGACAAAAACATGGGAAAGGCCTGGCCTGGGGCGGGGCAGGGGGGGCAAAAAGGGAGAAAATGGGAGACATCTGTAATAATGTCAACAATAAAATAAAATTTAAAAACACACACAAAAGTTTAATCTTGAGAATAGATTATGTTTCATAACCCTTTTTTAAAGGTAGGCTCTCCACTATGCTGTAATTCTCTCTCTTTGTTAATGGATGATACTGTAAAATTGACATTTTCAACACCTATAGGTAGAAGACAAGTTGAGCATCCTTTGAAACCTATTTTTCAAGCAGGCTGAAAAGAAATCCAACCAAGTTATGGAGATGAGGAAGGGAATACAGTATTGGGCCCATGTGGTATATAAACACATGAACCCAACCTCAGACGCCAAGTCAACTCGAAAACAGCTGGAGGAGACAGAACTCCAGAGCATCCACACAACTAATGGAGGCTCTCACGGGGTTCTGATTTACCCGAGACCAACCAAAAGTCTCTGACTTTGGTCTGTCCTACTATTAACCAAAAGCCTACAATTTAATTTGGCAAGTGAAGGACTGACTCAAAATCAGATTTTATTTCAATCTCTCCTGAGAGGAGCTTATCCTTCTGGTGATCTTCTTTTTGGAGGCAGTCTTGGCGATGAAAAAAGTCATAATATTTACATGGGTACAGGACATCTGCTGTTTTTGCATGTCTGGTATCTAATCCCTATCTCTCTGAACCCATTCTTCCCCACTCTTGGTCTTTATGATTTGGGAAGGACAGAAAAACAACCCCTCTCCCCCTGCAGATATAGCGGTGGAAGGCAACCAGGTCTGATCAGTCAATTTATTTCATGCCCTTGAGTCCAATGATAGGTTTAGGGGCATCTGACACAAACCGAGCCAATATGACTCAGTTCCTAGACTTTTGTTACAGTTATTGAGAAAGAGAAGCTCTTTTTTTTTATTTTTTTATTTTTTTAACAAAGACTGTTAAGCTGGAAGCCGGAGGATGCAATTCTGGATCTGACTGGGGATGACTCACAGAACCTGGTTGAGAATGAAGGCAGAGGAGAGAGGGCAGAGGATAAAGCAAGACACTGTTTGAACACCTAGATCCAGATGTGCCTGAAGCCAGACAGGACTGAACTTTCCAGTATATTAGCCAAGAAATCAGTCCTCTTGCTTAAGTCCCTTTTACCTGCCTTTTTGCCATTTACAAACCATCAAACCTGAATGATACAGCCTCCCTACCTTTGCTCACAAAAAAACTTGGAAATGTGTAGGTATTACCGCAAGTAGAAACCTCAAAAGAAGTAATTTTAAAGAAACTGAAGCCCAAAGAAGAAAATTGACCAGCAATTATGGTTAGAACAGAGGACTCTCCCCTGACTTTATCTCAAAACACAAGTGCACATGACCAGACCATAGGGAATATATTTTTTTAAAATTACTTCTTTTG